TACCTGGATGGACCAAGCCGTACCAGCTACCATTCGAGTACCATGACCTGTCTGGAGTTGCGTTTTTCAAATACACCAAGTCAATCTCAGCCTCTTCGACAAGTAAGACAAGCTTGATAAACGCCCATGCTCAGGGAAAGCTGGACTTGCGAGGTTCGATCATTTGTCGTATTAAATCTCGCTTCGCTTCTTCTGTAGTTGGTAGTTTGGACGACCACGTTGCCAATAATGGCGGATTGGAGATCATCAGAGTACACCAGCAGTACTGCCGAGCTGTTCAGCTAACCTCCCAGAATCAAGACAGCGATCTCAGAACTGAAGCAGCTGGACGAACCCTACTCCGAGCGCATCTATTTAAGGGAGAAGAGCTCAAGGCACCACTTGATCCCTCCTTTCGCTACTGGTATGATTTGATGCTCTACCCAGATTGTACCATCTACAAGCCGAGCCAAGTGAAGGAGCTTGCAAAGGAGAGTTCCACTGAGGCCTCCGAGGTCATAAGAGATTACCTGTTGCATTGCGCCTCTTCTGAAGAGAAGAGTCTTGAGGGACAAGTATGGACAATGCATGCTCATATTCTTGGGATAGCCAATTATGGATTGCTGATTTTTGACTCTGGCCACTTGGGCCTTGCTTTCCATAACTGCAGGGAGGGAGATGTCGTTGCACTCCTGGCAGGTTTATACCTCCCTGTTATCTTAAGAGAGAGCGGAGATAGTGGCTATCGTTTCGTCGCTCCCGCCTATGTGCATGGGCTGATGGGTGGGGAAGGGTGGCCAGAAGATGAATCCTCGTTAGTAGATATTGCATTAATGTAAAATGCTCAGATGCCACCACACCTCCCTTGAGTAGTATGAGAATGCAGTCGGAGGTTTCTCCTTCATCCGAGACTTTCAGCAGCTCATCCAACACTAAAACTACTCCCAAGAATGCTTTTATCAATACAGGCCTAGGTCTTGAGGCTGTATTTCTTTGAATGAGGTTCTCATTATCTAATGTGGAAAATAACCACAACGCTCTCTCGCCACAAGTAGCTGCTCGGAGATGCTGGTTCGACCCAGTCGACCCCTGGCAAAATCAGACAGGAATCGGACTGCAGGCCGAGCTTTACATCAAAGCAACGCCTCGTGGGAAAATGCGGTATTATAGGGCAAGATCAAAATGGTCTAGACGTGTCGTTGAAAATCACCTGAACAGGCTAGACGAACACCCTACGCCTTCTTACAGTAAGTACCGCGACTTGCTAGATCGCGAATGGAAGCTTATGATTGGCTTGAAAGAGTTATATGCGGCGCACTGACCATAGAACAAGGCTCGAAGGCTGACAGAAGACCTAAATGTAGGGGCCTAATAAGCTTGGCCGTTATGGGGGCGGGTTTGCTAAGCCCCAGATTATGGTGAAAGACCAAGATAGATACGCGACCGATGCATCGCCACAACTCTCCATCATGAGGCTCGCTGAGGTCTATTCTCGGTACAGGTCTGGAGACAGCCATGGCCTCGTATCAAGTATAAAACTATGAAGTGTACCAGTGTAATGGAAGCCTTCCTTCATTAGCATCACCGAATCAAGCATCTCTCCTCAACTTCAACAACAGTCTTTCGCGGTTAATCGATTGCTATCAACTGAACCCTTCAGAATATCCATTAAATCAATCTTTCAGTCAACACAAATTGATTTGACCATTCTTTTTACTATCAACATGTCTTTCTCCAAGATCATCACTTTGGCCTCTCTCCTGTCCGTCATGGGCCCAGTCTCAGCAGCACCGACTGAGATCATCATGCCAGGCCCCGATGGTAGCCGAGTTGGTCCCTTCCAAATCTACAACCTTTACCCTCAGGAACCTGAGCGTTCCGAGGCCCCTATTCAGGCAATTCATGTCGAGACATACGGGGGACAGTCCATCCGAGAACAAGTTGTCGTCTTCAAAGGCATCCCGCCTGGTGCCAAGCTGTGCCAGCTGAAATGGGCCCAAGCCCCTACCCCCAACCAGGTGTTCATTGCGAAATATGGTTCAAACACCGAACCGGGAATCTCAACCCGCCAGCTCTCAGGCTTCCCTGCCGAGGGTGTTGCGCCATCGTACGCCTCAGTCCAGCCTTTTGACACCAAGGTGGCAGAGACTTCCCCATCTATCAACTTCGAGAATTGGGATACTCCAGGCTCGTCTGGAACCCGCGAAGGCGGCGGCATGGATTGCGCCGAGACTATTTACCTTAAGCTGGCGTTTAAGAACACAACTGCTGATATGCATGCTTATATGGCCCAGGATTACGGCAACGGCCTTCGCATGTACTACAAGTGATAAGAGTCTTATGTGACTTAGGCAAATGATGACGAAGAACTCGATGCTGTGATTATCCTCCAGGATTTACTTTCAGAGGTTGGGCGATTGGTTAGTTGATTTCTGGCAGCTTTGGTTCACCTTGTTTTCTCTTTACTTTCCTTCTTTCCTCCCTTCTTTGTTTCTTTTATGAAGCGCATTCGGGCATTTTGATATTATTTTGAATACTAGAGGCATTAGATAGTCGGCACTTTCAGGTCAAAATTATAAATAGATTTCATTTGGTTGTTTATATTAAGTTGAGCTGAGTATAATGTGAGGGCTCGTACATGAGATGATCCCATATAATATCTAATCATTCATGAAGTCTATAAAGCACAATGGCCAACCTCAGAGACAGATCTTGGCGTGCATGAAAGGCAAACTATGCAGTTGGTCCCTCAAGATGTCATGCAGTCTTCATCTTAGACATGATACCAAGACATTGAGACCGGTAAGAGCGTTTGTGCCACGACTCACCCAGGCAGACCAAGGCTTTGGAATGTACTTCAGCACTCATAAATTTACCAATGTACTGGCATACCAGACTGTATGGATTGAGTGGCCATACTATGTTCGTTATATATGTTATTCTGGAGCTTGGTTGGGCTTACTAAAGTTTGTTTTTGTTCGTTGATATCATTGATGCACAGGCCTAGGGCGCTTGATCAAGCTCGCACATTGAGCTCTTCCGAGTGTTTTATTCCTGTTTTCGCGAACAACCCAGTACTGAAAGCCAAAATACCGGCGACATGGTAATGTCTCAATTGGATCTGAACACAAATATTTGGTGTCGGATGCTGCAGAAAAAGTCGGATAACTGCTAACAGGAGCAGTGGTAGAGAGGAATGAAAATCACTTCTATCCGCAGAATTGTCTCAATTATTACGAAAGAACGGCAAATCCCGAATCATGACTCGAGTATTAACCGATATCTATCTCTGAATTATCTCTCTGTGCTAGAAGGTAAGGGTTGACACAAGTTTACCAAGAAAGGTACTCTCACCCTTGACATCATTTCACCCCATAGGCACATTCTTAAACCATGACACTGTCAAGAATAACTACCAGAGTCTGTAACGGAGTCGATTTCATCATTGCTGACAGCACGTGAAAAATGGAACACTTCAACCTTCAAAGGTCCTTTTACATTATACAGAAGTTTGCTGACTTACCTATAAAGGCAGGTCGCATAACAAATTGGCGCTATTGCGCGAACAGCTCATGCGGCAAAAGTACCCGTGATTAATTACTTATAAGAGCTGGTTCGGTCTCTAAAGAGCTTCCAGTGAATCCAGTCGATGCAATTACACCAACGCCAGTCACACTAACCATATGAGATGGCCCCAGCCAGTATTGTTTTGTATGATATCCCTACAAAGGACCCCCAACGCTGCTGGTCCTTTAACCTCTGGAAGACGCGATTGCTTCTCAACTTCAAGGGTCTTGACTATATAACGGAATGGGTAGACTTGCCTGCGGCCTGACATGAGCCTAATGGATGTACTGATCGGCGTCATATAGGTCGAATATCCTGACATCCGCCCATTGTTAGAGAAGCAGTGAGTCTATTCTTCTATTCCCTTCTCATGACTACCCCAACCTAGAGAAACCTTTGTCCCACATGGAAACTTTGAATAGCATAGTTGAAGTCGTTGGGTGGCAGCTAATGACCGTTGTTGTTATAGCCTTCCAGGGGAGGAGGAGTACACCCTCCCTAGCGTTCATCTTCTCCAAGATGATACCTACATAATGGACTCGCTTAAAATTGCCCGCCACATTGAGTCTATTCATCCTGAACCTCCACTTTACCTCGACTCTCCCCTCATTAATCGGCTGGGGCAGCACCTACGAGGAGTACTTATTGCCATCCAGCCTATCCATATTCACCTCGTAGCGACACGTCTGCTCTCCGAGAAGAGTACCCCGTATTTCTTCGAGACCCGGAAACAGGATATCGGAAAGTCTACGGCTGAATGGTACCACGAACACGAAGGGACTGCATGGGAAAAATCCGCACTACACTTCTCCGCGATCACGGCCCTCCTGAAAGAGACGGACGGCCCTTTCTTCATGGGTGGGGTTGCATCATATGTCGACTTTGTATGGGCAGCCGTGCTTCTATTCTATCAGACGCTTGGAGATGGCGTATTCGCCAATGTGCTGAAGGCAAGCGGGGATGACGGTGTGAGTTTCAAGGCACTGCTGGAAGCGGTCCAGCCTTGGTCTGCAAGGAATGACTTTTAGAAACCTTAGATATCAAAGTGCGCCTTCGCAGACAATTAGACGAGTCTTTATCAAACCCGGAACATTCTCAAGTACATTTCATCGTACTCTGAGATATAGGCGCGTCTTGGATTAACAACTGGGCGAATGAAACTCTGAAACTCTGAAACTTCTGAATTGGTTGGGAATCTTGGGCATACAAGAGGCAGCGATAGTTACGAATCTCCCTCGAATGGCACAGGACCAACAAAACGCTTTAGTCTGCAAATGCTTCTTCTGATTCTAATTACCATAAGCTAAGGCATTGTTTCGGATTAGGGGACTTGTTCAGATAAAGTCTCTCGGATGCGATAAGATAGCTGGCATTCTCTTGCGAAGATAGCTGAATTTCATTTGTAAGCTCAAAGAAGAGCCCGATACTATCTACTCTCAATAAACCTGACTTGCCTATGGTTCCACAGGGGATAGGTGGGACTGTGCGAGATTGGTGAAGAATGATGCGCCAAGGACTTTTGAAGGCGTGGCAGGGTCAGTTGCATTGCAAATAGAAGCAAAGTCACCGTTCGCTTCAAGTTTCGCGGCGAGGTACTTGGCATAACTGGACACTTTGCAAGACTTTCCAGGTCCATCTTGACAAGAGGGCACTGGGTAGACGGCGTCGTTGATCCTAATACGAACATATGTCTCGTTTGCAGCGCTGTTGCGTTGATGTAGTCTGGCAGCATGCGCCGACTTTGGTCTGCAAGAGGCGGTCGGGGTTGGTGTGGTGGGATTGGGCGAGGATGGTTTGCCACTGCAGTTCAGACGCTCGAATGCAATCGTGCCTCTCATTGGAGAGATATAGGAACTTCTCCACAGACGGTCCTTCGGAATGCGATCAAGAGGCAGTGATTTCTGCTCATCAAACACACCTGTCGCCACAGCCAGCTCATTCAGCTGTCCGTCGTTGAGGAAGCTCATCAGAAGCTTGGGCACCGTGAACGCTTTACCATCAAAGCCCGTGCCCTCTGCATCTGGACCGAAGGTGAAACGTTGAATGAGGGCATCCAGAAAGGGGACCAACATTTTAGACGCAACGTTCGCAGCGGGCCCTACGCCATAATAGTATCGTAGATCTTGCTGATACTCGTATTGCGAGAGCTCTTCTTGTGTGAACGTATCGCAGAATGGCGATAGTCTTCCTGTGATTTGCGACTCAAAGCCGCAGACATAAGGAAAGTCCGCCCAAGTTGAATCGTCCAGCTCGAGGGTACCTTCAATATACTGGGAGAGGCGGGCTTTGAACGCAGGTAGCCAGTGCCCTCGCCAAGCGGTCTGTTGCTTGTCGCTGTCGTCGACAAAAGAAGGGCACATGTCGGACGGCGCCAAAGTGTCTCCAAGGTGAGCAGGCATGTTCTTCCCCGTCACGGAAACCACTGTTCCTAGTGACGAGTTGGTGCCTAGGTACCCGTGCAAGAAAAGCTGTGCTGTTTGGAGAACGCGGGTGTAGTTGTTGGCCCAGACGTAGAAGGGTTCGCCTTCTTGGTACAGATCTGGATATCTAAAAAAAATCAGTAAATTCGAGTCTCTCATTGGTGGCAGAATACATTTCATAGTCACCTCATTCTCAGAGTATATCCCATGTCAAAGAGCTCCTTATATCCAGTTTTGCTCACCTGGGCAATCTGGATACTCGGATTCGTCAGAGGGGTCTCCCATGTATGAAAGAAAGACAATGGCCCTGTAGCTGTGTAGTTGCTCTCCTTAAACTAGCCATTCGAATTTGTTAGCTTTGGGCCGTTAGCAGAACAGTTTCGGTAGGTTGTACGCACCAGCTTTGCCATCTTTACCCAGCCAGAGTAAGCGCCACTGTCTGGATAGCGAGAACCATGTCGTGATACGTACGCCGCTTGGTCCACGTAACAGTTATCTGGAACATCATCCGAGATGCCAAACACACTGGGACCTTTCTCTTCAATTAGCTTCCCAACCAGCAGCCGCCTTGCCATATACCTGAACTTACCTGCACTCCAAGGCCCATTGGCACCCAGGTGACCAAGAGGGTTCTTCGCCAATGCAGCGTCTGGGAGGAGCACCGGCTGTACAGGGTCAAGGAGAGTTCCTGAGCCAGCGGCAACCGCGATGGTCACCCACGGAACAACACCCAATACTGTGGTTTTCAAAGACATGGCGAAAGATTGTCCTGAGTAAGTCAAGTGGGTGTTGGTCGTTCAATGTGTTCTTTGTGACGCACCCGATCATTCATATATCATTACTGAGACATAAATCGCTGAAAAGTGTCATTTCTCTAATCCACATCGTTTGCGTGTCCACCGTTCAAAACGTGCCATCGAAGCGGTGCTGTAACCCCCCCGTGCCGCATTTGGTAGGTGAAGAACAGGTTTTCAGTGTCCATCATCGACACGTGAGCTCATGACGGCCACTGATTTGAGGTTGCGTCCAATGTTAGGTTCGTTGACTGCACCGGCCCCACAGCGCAAAATGGGAAATAATCTCCTTGGTTGACATTCCACTAGAGAGAGCCAAGTGGAAAATGCCCTCTGGACCACTTGTTATGTCCTTGACCCAGTATTGTGGATTGACCGTGATATCATCTTGATACGAGTAGAAACTCGACGGCGGCGGCCTCTTAAAGCATCGTCGAATGACCAAGAGTGGTACTGTTGTCTCACGCCATCGAACTTGATGTCTTAATATTATATTAATTCTACTTCACTGGAGAGAACTCGCTGTAAATGTTGATGATACCGAGTGCTCAACCTGAGAGGGGTTTGTTAGGCCTGAACATTGCCTTTCTTGTCCTCGACCCATCGTTTTCTTAAAACATGTGCAGCCATCTTTGGACGCCTGTCTCTAGTGAAGACTCCCTTTTTGTTTCCATCTACGCGGAAGATGAAGCTAGATGGCGTTTGGAAATCGGCGAAATTCCAGACCTGCTCCCCAACAACACTCTCAACTCTGTCAAAGACGCGATGGCTCATCTCCAACACTCGAGCTTGATACTCCTCGCTCCAAGGCACGTCGCCAACAGTGTGCAAGCCAGCAAGAGTATCTGCACCGTATTCGGAAATTAGAATCGGCTTTTTGTATTTGTCTTCCCACTCACGGAGCTCCTCTTCCAATCCTTGCTCCGCTGCTTCCAAGTCCCCAGTATGTAGATACCACCCGTAGTACCGATTCAGGAATATCATGTCGAAGAGATCCGTGATCAAATCCCTTTCAGCGCTGGCCTGTTTCTCGTTGGCAAACCCCACTGGCCGTGTGGGATCCAATTCCCGAGTGAGCTTCACTAAAGGCTCAAAGTATTCTCTTGCTCCAGGCTCGGCGGATGCGGGCTCGTTCGCAATGCACCAAGAGACCACGGACGGATGGTTCTTGTCACGAGCTACCAACTCTCTTATAGCTTGGGCGTGTACCTCTCTGGTCGTCTCCGAGGCAGTCTCGGGAGAAAATGTCGGCAAGGCCTTCCATCCAGTTAGACCCGCAACAAGTGTCAGGTTGAGTCCTACAGCCGCCGTTTCGTTGATGACAACAATGCCATGACGATCTGCGTACTCCAACACTTCCTCTGCATAGGGATAATGGGAGCACCTGAAAGAGTTTGCGCCCATCCACTTCATGAGCTCAAAGTCGTGGATCATGTAGGCGGGGTCGAAACCTTTGGCTCGGACTGGGGTATCTTCATGCTTCCCAAACCCCGTGAAATAGAACGGTTTCCCATTAATCAGGAACTTGTTGCCGGAGACTTCCACTGACCTCACTCCGAACGGAAGCTCATAAGTATCGAGAACTTCCCCGTTGGTCTTGGCGGTGATCTTGACCCGGAGCTTGTACAAATATGCCGCACCAGGTTGCCACAGATGTACGGAATTGATGGTGACGCTTCCCTCTGACTGAGATGCTTCGTGCACAACACGGGCATCCTCGTCAATAATTTGAACGAGGAATTCTCCTTCCTTGAGATCTTGGTTGGATTCAACTTTGAAATTTACTGTTCCGGAATTTCCTCCATCCGCAACTCGGGTTGTGACCGTCAAGTCTTCGATGAAGACTTCGGGAACAGAGTACAGCCACACCGACCGGGCCAATCCTGCGTAGTTGAAGAAATCATGTTGGTAGTGCTGCTTCCGTCGACCATTCTTGAGAACCTCGATCCTACCAGGTGGTATTGTCTGCCAGCTCAACTCGTTGTTCACAGCGACAGTCAAGCGGCCTGAGTGACCAGGCTTGACGAGCTGGCTAATATCGATCTCGAATGGCGTGTAGCCTCCATTGTGCTCAGCAACAAACTGGTTGTCGATGTATACACGCCCCTGATGAGTGGCCGCGTCAAGCCGGATAAAATATCGTCGCTTTGTCCATGAAGTAGGCACAGTTATTTCCCTCTGGTAGTATGCCCAGCCGACATGATCCCGTATCTTTGAGTCAACGAAGATATCGTTGTAGCTGGCTGGAACAGGCACTTGGAGGGTTGATGGAATGGCTCTTTTCCATACTTGCTCGCTTTCAATACCATTGGCTGACTTCTCCAATTCAAAGTTCCATATCCCGTCCAAGGAGACGAGTTCGCGAATAGCGTTGGCCTGTGGTTTGAGCATCTTTGGGTAAGGAAAATCTCACTCTGATCGAGGAAATCCGACCTGACAACAGAAGAAAAAACAAATAATTATATGATATTACTCAATTCAAATGTCATCGTCATGAGCCATTTGACTAACTTGCCTCCAGTGTCCAGGGTCGCCACAAGAGGTGGATACACGGAAACCGGCGTCGGTGTCGGAAGTCCAGTCCGCAATGTCGCCTTACTGGCGTGAGTGTACGTATCCAAAGCCGAGGACCACTACATTGTAATAGTTACTTACCTAGTAAATGAATACCGAATATTCTGAACCCCCTGACCCGGTCATTGGACACACACATGCACCTCTTTCTCTAGCATGCTTCTGTGCCCACCAACCATGTGACTTGGTTGACAAGATTCCCCCCGGCTTTGGTTTGGGTACCCTAAAAGCAGAGATACCTACGAAAAGGAACAATTATCTCGCCCTTGAAATCGGTGTCATCCCCAGCAACTTCGAAATCAAGGCATGATTCGTTTTGTGGGATGTTCTAGAGTACCATTGCCAGCCTCCTTACTTTGGAGGCGAGGCACGGTAAGGGGTCGGATCTGCTTCTAGGTTTCGTGGTGTAAAGTGAAATGTCAGAACTACTTAGGAAGACCGTGGGCTTCCACATCAACTCTGCGGTATACTGAAAGTAAATGAACCCATAATATCAATTGCTTCGCAACAGCGGACCCAAGTCATCATTCGGTCTGGAACTAGATATCGACTTGAGCGCTGACCAAGCCGGTCGTACAATTTGGGCAAGAAAATCTCGAACCCAAAAAGGCAATATAATTCTCCCCGGTAGTTGATTCTCTTTCCGGCGTGCAACTTACTGGTTGACTAGGATGCTAGAAGCCTGAAGGTGCCTGTCATGCGGTTGGTTTGATTGCGTCTCGATCTGCCCGCCACGAGTCATTAAGGGATCGCTTGCGGCATCAAACTCCACATATGCCGTAGATTAACAAGAGAATGTCCATTGAATAACCGAGATATGAACTGATCTATCTGGAAATATTGACAAAGTTTGCCCAGCATTGGCTTGTATGGTTCGCTCCGACTGGTTCGGGCTGGGGCCAGTCGGCCGGTACATACTCCGTCTCCGGCCACGCTAGATGGAGGCAGCTTAGTCGTTTTCCACCCGCGAATTGCCTCGTAAGATCTCCCACACATGGCGACCATGTGGAGAGGAAACCCGGTAACGAGCACGTCCAGAACATGTTGAACAACCCAGCAACTCCCCCAGCTCTCTCCACGCCGAACTTGAGCCGTCTCCACGTCCCCAAGTTGTGGGACAGACCTGCGGGGGGGAGAAACAAGCCAAGTCACACGCGCCTTCAAGCTGAGAAAAAAGCCGGGATTGTGTGAACAGTAGAAGGGAACTTGACAGCCGTGATCAAACCCCACTCCCTCTCCTCCCATGACACTCAGTATATAAGACTCGCCCTTGCTCGACATCCCAGCCTCATATCCTGATCAGCAAGTTCCAAGCGGCTCTTTACTCATAATCGAACGAAAACTCTTCTCTACTGTTCAACGACATGACCAATTCACGCCCTGGCTCTCGCGACGCAGAGTCGCCTTCCCTGGCCCAGAAGGTGGCTAAAGAGGATGTGACACAGGTTGAGACCCTGGACGAAAAGACCACTGAGAGTTCGCCTGTCATCTCCGACTTCGCAAGTTGGGATCGAGCAAGATGCATGAAGACCTTTTGGCGACTCTACTTGACAGGAGTGTGTGTATCGCTTTGCGGAATGTGAGTCTTCCCCCACACTGACGTGGACGTATAATGGCAGTTTCATTAACATCAACCGCCCAGGTATGCTGGTTATGCAAACTCTGTCATCGGTAGCATTGTGGCCAACAAAGGCTTCATTGAGCAATTCGCAACAGCCAAAGATCCCGTGACTGGGCAGAAAGCTCTCGAGCCCAACCACATCTCGCTCTGGGCTGCTGGATATTTCATTACAACTATTGCAATCCAAATAGTTGCCCCGAACACGGCCGACAGATTTGGTCGTAAATTCAACATGTGGGCCGTCACGTTCTTCCTCACAACTGTATGTTTGCGCCGGTAGTTGATTTCTACAGCCGTTTTTTTACTGTGTTCACTAACCGCTCGGATTGCTTTGCAGTCAATCATTATTCAGGTCTTCGCTCCAAACTGGTGGGTGTTGTTGATTGCGCGCCTAGTCGCAGGATGCGCTGGTGGCATGATGGGAACTTCAATAATGGTGTACTTGTCCGAGATCGCAATGCCCCAATTCCGTGGTGCTCTGCTCGGGAGCTTCTCACTCGCTTTTGCCCTTGGCCAAGTATTTCTGGCCATCGCCCTGAAGGTTCTCGAGGTCACCTCGCCTTTGGCTTTCCGCAACGCATTCTACTCCGAGTTTGTCTTCACAGGCCTGTGGCTTATTCCCATGCTGTATCTCCCCGAATCTCCAGGTAAGTGTCACTAAGTTTGACCGCTACGAGAGATCTAGGTTCTAACAGACTGGTAGCTTGGTATGCTGCCAAGGGAAGGCACGATGAAGGTAAAAAGGCACTCCGAAAGCTCGTTGGAAATGTCGAAGGATATAGACTCGACAACGAATATGCAGTCATTCAGCAAGAGGTAGAGGAGTCACAAGCTCGGGCCAAGGCTCTTGGTACCTCCGACTGGAAAGCTGTTGTCTGCAACAGAAGCAATCTTAAACGCGCGGTCATTTCCAGCCTGCCCTTTACTTTCCAGAACATCGTTGGTGTCCCGTTAATGTTTGGCTATACCACATACTTCTTCCAGCTGGCAGGTGTCTCCGACCCTTTTCTGGGCAACATGGTCAAACAGATGGTTCTCGTCGTGGGCATCATTATCGGATTCTATACCATTGACAAGGTTGGCCGAAGGACGCTTGTTATTGGTGGTGGCGCTATGATGGCCGTTCTCAGCGCAATCGTTGGTGGACTTGGGTTTATGAAGCAGAACTCATCGTCTGGTATGGCCCTCGTTGCGCTCTGCTCAATTTGGGCCTTCGTGTACGCAAACTCACTTGCGCCCATTGGTAAGAACTTTCTGCTTTATGACCTATCAAGCTACACTTCTGAACAGTCCTAATCTGATCTACCGGTAGGCTGGATCAGTCTCGTCGAAATCTCAAGCCCCCAGCTCCGAGCTAAAACAACATCTCTTGCCGTTACGATTCAATATCTCACGGGAATCATCTTTGTAAGTGCAGTTTCGTTCAAACTCCCACACAAGCCTGGGCTGACCATTTCTCGCTTTTAGAATTACTGCGTGCCATTGATGTTGTCCAATCAATATGCTGGCTGGGGCCAGAAGACTGGCTTGTTTTTCGCCGGCCTTACGGTAATCTATCTGATTCCTGTTATATTTTGGTTCCCAGAGACCAAGGGCCGCACGTATACTGAGTTGGATGAGCTATTTGAAAGGCGTGTTCCTGCCTGGAGATTTGCCTCGACAAAGACTGCTCACCAGTCAGAAGTTGAAGCTAAAGCCCAAGAAGAGAAGTAAATGTGAATGGCGAGACAGGAGGATATCTGGATGAATTAAGTAGCTATGTACCGTATTTTCTCGCCAGATTGGCTCAAGACAAGCCCCGCAAGCAGCTGGCAGAGAAGATGGCACTCTAAGATCGAGGACTTAGGGCTCTAGCATAATCTTCAAAGCAATCAACACGTTAAACTTATAGTTAATTCTAGGGGTTTAGGGCGTAAGGGAAGTCCTGGACTTTTTATATATTAAGCACTGCATATCGTAGAGCTTAAATTACTCATATTAGGAACATGTATTTATATGGGATGAATAGTTTCTTCAAGGCACAATACTTGGATCTTCAAGGCACAATACTTGGATCTTCAAGGCACAATACTTGGACCTTGCAACCACCTCCCGTATTGGGGCGGCGAAGGTGCTTATCATGAGCACAGATTCCAAGTCACTGCTCCGCTCTCCTTCACTTAACGCTCGTACTTTCCATGGCTCGATCGGATATGATCCGAGGCAAATGTGGTTTTAGCCATGGCACACTCTCTCCAGTACCAGACAAGGCACATTGTGGCGCCAGGGCCGATCACGAGACTGCCCAGAGTAATCAACATAATAGCCTTGCCAATATGAACACGGGTTCTTCCGACTCTCTTGATATCGCAGACAGCCATACATAACCAGCCGTATGTGCCAATTTGAAAACCCCAGAAGTCTGCGAGGAAGAGCTGGCGCAACCCTTCACCTAGTTCCTTGGGCTGCGGTGAGAAGTCGGGCCAGAAGACAGAGGACACAGTCATCTCAGTAGAGAACCAGATCCTGGCGAGGATATAGACATGCTGAAATACGCCAATGGAAGCCATGGCGCCATATAGAAACTTTAAGTAACGGAGATCTTCTAAAGCCTCGTTCACCTTGCGTAGCGCAACCTTGGTGTTATCCCTTTTGGGATCCAAGTATCCAAGGACGGCACAGAGGAGCGGAGCAATGAAGGGGGATGGTTGCCACAAGGCTTCGAAGCTCTGCTGCAAAGTTGGATTATTCCAGGGGTAAAACATGAGAATAGTAGGCACAATGTATCCAAGTTGGGCCCAAGTCGCAGAGACCGCATACTCGATGGGCACCACTCGATTGAGAGGCCACCAATAGGTCTCAGGGTCAGACACGAGCGTATAGAAGGCGTAATATATGGGCATCCAGGTGCCAATGCCGGCACATTGAGTGACTATAAGGAAGATAACAAGCCTATTGCGGGATAAGTTGTAAGCATATACTATTTCATGTGCAAGATCAATATCACTCACGGCCACAGTGAAAGCAGTGTTATCTTGTTGCGGATGCGGAAGGCTTCGACCGTCCACACCGCAATAGGTTGGATAAGGCCAAAGAGGAAATACCGTGATAGGGTTCCGTAATTCAGATCCCACTCATTGATGCCTGGAATGAAGATTGCCGTGAGGAACTGTAGGTAGTCATCAATAGGGCCAATGCCCGTGAATCTGCGCTGCAGTTCAAACTTGGGATGTCCGTCGAAGCTTCCTGACTCGATAATAGACACAAGATGTGGACCGAGCTCATAATAGGCCGACCAAACCCACATGCCGTAGTGTACAAGGGCAGCAACAGCAAGATAGAAGCCAACCCACAGCCACTTCTTGACACCTCGTGGAGTGGGAGTACTCAGAAGCTCGTCCTTGTAAGGAACAAGCTTTGCTTGGTGGTTGGGCTTGGGGTAATCCAGCCTTTCTGCTAACGGTAGGTTGCGGGAGAAATTAAAAGTGACATCTTCTTTATCCATCATTGGCAACACATAATGAGCTATAAATTTATGTAAAGGGGTGTCAAGGAGCTCGAGTCTTTGTTGCTCGTGAGAGTGGCCTTTGAGAACCGTGGCCCTGGCTTGACGGGCTTGCTGAGTGTTGGCGAAGAGCGCATCGATGTCATCCAAAGATGGCTTTGAGCCGCCTCCAGCAGCCCGGCTGAGCAGCTTAACAAGGCCATTGACCAAGGCGGCGGCTGACTCGATGCAGGCATTGCCTCCATGACCAGTAATAGGGTGCATCTGTTGGATCATTTAGCATTGTTATCCGTGTAGCGACTGCACGCTGGTTTCTGAAGTGGATATTCACCTTGTGTGCGGAGTCGCCGATGGTGATGATGCGCTTGTAATGCCACTGGCGGAATACATATTCCTCCAAGGGAACAAGAACAGAGGATATCTTCTTGTTCAAAAGATCTTTGAATTTCAAGCTTGGTGTGATGTTATTGTTCTCTGCCTCCTTGAGCACCTGATCATGGTCTTGCTTGGTGTACTTGGGGATGGCGTCTCCATGTAGTCGCGTGGGCAACTTGAAGAAGAAAAACCAATAGACTCGACCCTTTGGACCACCAATAACTATGTACGACTGGTGCTTCCGGAAGATTGAATTGAATGCCCCAGGTTCAATGCCTTGACAAGGGTTGGATATGCCGAAGACGCACCCGAAGTCACAAGGAACACCTAGCCGTGAGGGGTTCCAGTCAGAACATCGAAAGCGAAAGATATCACCAAAGAAGAACACACTCACTCTGTTTCTCGTTGGCAGGGATCCATCCGGGAAGCTCCAAATTGGCAATTCGCCACATCTCGCTGCGGACAGTGCTGTGAATGCCGTCACCACCAACTAGGATATCACCTTCATACGCGGAGCCATCGACAGTCTTGACAATTACTCCGCTGTCTGTCATCTCCACCTCGTTAACACGCTTGCTGCTGAGAATCTTTGACTTATCCTCGACATTCTCGTATAGGACCTTGAGTACCATTTGTCTGTCGAGGAATGTGATCGGATACCCGTGTCTCCAGTGCCGCGAATTAGCATGTGGGTGCAAATATATAGTGAACCTATAGCTCCAAGATCGTTGTGCTCAGATAATATGCATACCTTTCATGCATAGACTTATTCATGCCTTTGAATTCGTGAATAATCTTGCCAGTATGATCACGGAAGTGCATGGAGTCCAGTGGTGGACATAACTCTAGGACTTTCTCATACAGGCCAAGCTGATCTAGAATCCTATTGCCATGTGGTAGCATACCAATACTGGCTCCCACCTGGGGTGTCATTTCGTGCCATGCCTCAAGTACCACAAAATCAATGCCGTACAATTGAAGCATGTTGGCAAGCGTTAGGCCGCTGATGCTGCCGCCGGCAATGACCACCTTGAAGCTCGATTTGTCTTTGGACCCCATGCTGAGTTTTGGGATCGTGCCACTGTCCCCTGAAAATTGAGGATTATTTGATTCGACTGACTGAAGTGCTTGCGTCTGTATATGTGCAGACCGTGGCTGCAGAATTGGATAGTTTTTAAACCCAGCTGTCCTTTCGTCGAGGAATATAAATATCTGAACGGACTTGATAGTCGGCTATTGTATTCTTTACCAAAAGTTCCCTCAAAGCGATCAACCCCTTCCTCCTTGTCCATTGCAATTCGTCATGCGTGACAAAGGCATTTGGGATGCTCGTCCAAGATCGCTTACTGGCTATCTGATCCCTACATGTGAGCAGCAATCATGCATAGTGACCTCGGTGATTGGGTTCGGAGATGACGGGCCGTAGACGGCTCGGCTAAAGCAGTGACAACCAAGTTGTCCTTGTATGCTCAGGATGCTAGATTCGCGAGTTTTCACGAGCGTTCAGTGCAGATGGCAATTATGCTAGTCAGTCAATGAAGTTGATATACGAGTGAAGCTGTAGAGTATAGTCACTTTTAGTGCGGGCATCCACACCTGCCATTGAGACAGTGGGGGATGTATAAATGTTGGCTCGATCACATGTAGTATTGGAAGTAGAATATTGCGTTGACAAATTCAGGCTGCCTCGTCCGCTATTCTACGACCTTATAAGGACTTCCAACGGACCACCCGGGCTATAATTCTAAAGAAGTCTATCCTCTTTTCCCCGGGCTCGCTGTGTCCCTTCCAATAATGGATCATCTGCTCAAGAAGAGTGTCGTCAGTCGTCGCTCTTTCAATTACGGTTATTATGTCTCGCCCGGAGACAAGTCCGCCCCAGAACACCCGGCACTGATTTTCATTCATGGCTGGCCGGATTCTGCCTACTTGTGGACCGAGATATCCAAGGGCTTGAGCGACCTTCCAAATAAGCTGATATTTATTGACTGCTTGGGCTACGCTTCCACCGACAAACCCCAACAGACAAGTTTCTACTCCTTTCAAGGACAAGCTGATGATGTTGTGGACATCCTTCGGAATGAAGATGTAAAGTCTGCAATTGTTGTCGGACACGACTGGGGCAGTGTATTGGCACAACGAGTCTTCCTACACCATCGTGAATTGTTTGTTGGCGTTGTGCTCGTAAATGCTGGGTACATGGTGCGAACAGATCAGTCATTTGATCTTGTGGCAGTCAACAAGTTTACGGAGGAGGCAATAGGCCACCCGCAGTTTGCATACTGGGACTTCTTCGTCAACAAAGAAGCCGCATCTGTCATGGACCCCAGGTTGGAGCGGGTGTGGCAGGTTCTTCATGGAAATGCCCACGACTGGTTAAAGAGGAATTTCTGTAATCTAGGGGCTATGCGCACCTTTCTTGAGGGAAGAGAAGATGTGCCGTTGAAGCCATATGCACAGGACCCAAAGTGGAGAGATCACTGGATTGCGCAGTTCAAACAGGACGGGATGGGCTCAACATCCTTTATGTGCAGGGCGATGGTTACCGGTGTGCAGAGTCGATCGGACCTCAACCTTGTGAAGGGAAATCTATCCATTGATGTCCCTCTGCTATTTATCTTCTGCTCCAAAGACACTCTTTGCCCGCCATCAATGATGTCACAGGCAAAGCAGGAAAATTTGGTTCCCAATCTCACAGAAGTCGAGGTCGATGCTGCGCACTGGTCTCCCATGGAGAAGCCGGATGAATTGGTTCGACATATCAAGCAGTTCATGACGGACGCTTTTTAGGTGGCAAGAATTGACTTGCAATGTGTGATAATCATTCCATACCACGGCTCTTTGGACTTTGGAAAGAGTTAGTGAAAATATAATTTCAAACCAGAAAAGCCCTTCTGACGATACAGGTCCATCATGTGTGTATTCTTGTGGGGAACTACTGTATGTAAACAAAGGCAATTTCACGGAATTCTTATCATCATAAGTTAAATTTCTTCGGTCAAAACAACTGCTATACAGAGGTCCGCGGGAAACCGGAGCTTAATACTAAAACAAGTAGGCAAGAGTCACACTCCCCGTCGCCCGGCCGCCGGGAACATAAATTTGGAGAGACTCGCATGTACCGCGACATGAATGTATATGTTCTATTGTTTCTCTGTGAAGAAGCCGAAGCGGTACGTGATGAAGGTCGCACTGCTGTAGAGGACCATAGTTTTGAAGCTGTTGTAGATAAATGGCGGAAGACTATGCAGAAAGCCTTGTCCCAAGACCCGCCCCGTTACGCTTTTGTACAAAATACACATACCTAGGATAAATTATGCCACTAGATTCTCGAAGAACACGTAGATTGCCCCCTTTCTATCACCCTGACAACTGATAACACTCAGGTGGACATTCGCCGAAGTGTCATGTTTTCTCACGCCTTTTCCCCGAGTCAAGCATGTGACATAGGCAGTTAGTTTGGCATCGGAACTTTTGAGTCTATATCCCTAGCCGACACGGGGCTTCATTCACCTTGGACAAGGAAATTCGATAATGCTACTCGCCCTTAATTCCGATTTGGATTTAAGAGTGGGCGTTTTGCAGCAGGATACCCTCGGATATTCTAGCGTGGGCCTTGCGGCAATCTGGTTATTATTGATCGCCCCATTCCCCCAAGTGTGCCTTTGATAACCGAAAGGCCGCCCGACGAATTAGAGCCCAGCATGGGCCCGGGCCTAGGTAGTATTCCCCCACGCGGGGAAATCGATAGACCGACTCCCAACGGTCTGGGACGCCACCCACCCGTGTAGAGGAAGCTTTGTATCTTCATTAGCATGATTAGCAAAGTTCAGCCCACCTCGGCCATCCCCGCATTCTCTCATCGGTAGCAGCGGGTCCGATTTCCGAACATTGGGGAGTTACTTTTGAATATGGGGTGTGTGTAATGTATGACTGAAAAGTGTAGGAGTCCACGTACATGAATACCCAACCTCCCTAGTGCAGTGAATTGAACACCATCCAGTCTTCCTATGCTCGACAGGCGTGTTCGAGAACTTTTCTTCAGTCTCTTCAACCCTGAACTCCGGGCTTCATCCCAGCCCACATCAAGAGCGATGGCTGTCTCGAAACCAGATTATGATGCTGTAGTGATCGGAGCTGGCTTTAGTGGCATCCGATCTCTTTGGGAGCTCACCCAAAATGGCCTGACTGCAAAATGCTTCGAGGCTGGATCTGATGTTGGGGGAGCGTGGTATTGGAATCGCTATCCCGGGGCCCGAACCGACAGCGAGGCGTGGGCTTATGCTCTAAACTTTGCCCCCGAAGTGGTTGATCAGTGGAAGTATTCGGAGCGTTATCCGTCTCAGCAAGAAGTTCAAGGTTACATTCGTCGGATTGCGGGTAAGCGTACATGAACTCTCCCGTGTGTCTGAGCCGTCACTGAACTTTCGCAGCGCACTACGACTTGCTAAGGCACATTCAATTCGATACACATGTGGTGTCAGCTCGTTTCAGCGAAAAAGAGAATCTCTGGACTATCACTGATAAAACCGGCAAGGCCACGACATGTCGCTACTTTATCCCGGCAACTGGCCCGCTCTCGATTGCCAAGAAGCCGCCCTTTTTGGGTCTTGACTCTTACAAGGGTGAAGTGTACCAGGCGTCATCGTGGCCCAAGCAGAATGTGGACATCCGCGGGAAACGAGTTGCTGTGATTGGTACCGGCGCGACGGGCGTTCAGATCATTCCCAAGGTTGCAAGAGTTGCCAAGCAGGTGATCGTGTTCCAGCGGACGCCGAACTATGTGCTTCCTGGCCGCAACTACTTTATTGATGATCATGAGGCGGATGAAATCAAGCAGAAGTATGACGATACTTTGAAAAAGGCTTCGGTGCATCCCTTTGGCCTGGCTATGGACTTCACAGGAAAGACTGCGGATAAAGTAACTGAAGAAAAGGACATTAGGCAGACCCTTGACAGCGGTTGGGAAACTGGAGGCTTTCACTACATGTTTGAGACTTTCGACGACCTCTTCACCAGCGCCGAATCCAACGCCAATGCCTCAGAGTACATCCGTCAAAAGATCCGCGCTATTGTTCGTGATCCAGAGACGGCTGAGCTACTTTGCCCTCACTATCCTTTTCTCTCCAAGAGACCACCTTGCGGGCACTTCTACTATGAGGCGTACAACCGCCCGAACGTTCGCCTTGTCGACGTTTCCAAGCGGCGGATCGAAATGTATGAGAAAGGGATCCGCTTGACTGATGGTGAAGAGCATGAGGTCGACATGATCATATGTGCCTTAGGCTATGATGCTGGAATAGGAGCCTTAAGCGAGATCGACGTACGAGGGCTCAATAACCAGTCTCTTGGGGAGTTGTGGGCGAGAAAGCTACAGACATTTGCCGGCGTCCTCGTTCCTGAATTCCCGAACATGTTCATGGTTTGTGGACCGCACATCCCCTTTGGTAATATGCCAGTCATTCTTGATGCACAAATGGATTGGATTGGCAAAACTATCCGCCATATGGAAGAGAACAAGCTGGGGCGCATTGAAGTGCCTGAAAAGACGGCTGATTCTTGGGGTGACCATGTTGAGGAGGCCTTTCAAGCCACGCTGTTTTCTCAAAGCGCCAAGGATGTTGGAGCTTGGTTCGTGGGAGGAAACAGCCCGTTATTCTATTTTGGCGGTGTTGCGAACTGGGCTTCATGGCTCGATAAGGAGAAGGAGGCGACCTGGTCAGAGATGCAGTTTACGCAACCAAGGGGAAAGGCATTGAATCACCTTTGAAACCTGGGTCCTGCTTGTATTAGACGTCCGCGTAAAGAAGGAATCTTTGTTCAAGGCATAACTTAGTCTCAGTCAGTAGCAATATACTCAGTTCGTCATATTGGATATCCAAAGATTGTAAGGAATATTGTGAATTAATTTTATGAGCTCTGGGACCTCTAAGCTGTAATCCTCTTATCTGTATGTATGATAACTGACCTTCTAGAACCCAATGCTATTTTGAATGTCTCGATAGCTAGCGCCCAGACAGCTCTATCTCCTTGATGGCGTATTACGTATGGGGGCGCCTCTCGCCCGACCTAGCCCTTATAATAGCCCGTATATAAGAGGAATGTATAAGATAATAAAAACAATTTAATATATATCTATAATTTAGCTATAAATTATAAAAGATATTACGCCTTGTATAGCCCTAACTAGATAATAGTTATTATAACGTTTTAGGCTTTGTGCGATAGGTGACTATATTTTACGATCGTGTAGGTAGGTTAAAGCTGCTTATTATAAAACCTGCACTAATAGGATAGATTATATTCTGCATGCTCTTCTCAGCATCCGGAAGGGACCCGCGATCCCTCTCGATGCGATCCACCGCAACCTTTTGCTCGAGATCAATCAACGACAATTTCGCGAAGTGCTCGTTCCACGAGATGAACAATTTAGCCAAGCCAAGGACTGTTCCGATGCTACAGAGCGAGTAACACAACTATAAACTAATCAAAGTATGCCTTTCCAGAATGAAGACCAAACACTTGACTCCATCCAAGACTATCAGTCATTAATGCATACAACGGCGCCTCATCGTCACCTTTGCCCCAGCGCCATGGTCGATCAAGCTCGCGACACTTGGCTTCCTCCCCTTCGTCAGAATAGCCTTGAGGCTGAACAGCATCGTATGCCTGCCCATAATTTAGGCGCAGACACATCAACGCTCTCCCGCTCTTGCTCTGGACTTTTGCGAAAAAGCAGCCTGCCTCATTGAGAGCTTCTGTTTTTATCGGCACGTCGATAGCGAAGCCTCCGTCGTCCTTTCTGGCGAAAATGGCCTCAAACGGACCTTGCTTTTCAATATGCATGATTGGTTCGAGGTGTAGGAGTACTGACAAGAACACTTGTGCGTCAACCTTGCTCACGGCAACGACCTCGGACACCGACCTGCACACGACCTGTCCAAGGAAGAAGTCCCGCCACTGCCACTCGTGGACACGGATAGACTTCAGGAAAAGCATCAGGAAACCAGCAAGGGCCCAGAAGAATACAGAGATATTGAAAGGGTCTACACCGCGAATCCTTTCCTCGACTGAGAGACCAATGACGAGCCCGCCGAGGACTAGGAAGCCACAGAACCCGATAGAACCCCAGCAGTAGAATCGGTAGGGAATGATGATTGCCTTCTCATCGATTGTCCACTTGTTCGTCATAAGCTTGAGGACACTGGCAATCTTCTCATTCGCCACCCTCAACTCTTCACGCATCTGAGAATCGTCCGGCTTGGTGGGGGGTTGGGGGTGTAGTCCTGCGTGCTCGACCGGCCAAATGGCCAGACCGCGCCGTTGTACGATCAGACTTGTACTGACAGGTGTGACATCGGAGTCCGCATGGAAGTGGTAATTGCTCGTTCGGACTAGGAGAGCCGCCAGGAACCGCTCTTCCTCACAGATCCTGAGCGTGCCAATCTCAATCACCACCTGCAGATTGGCGATGATGGGCGCTATTTGGTTCGAGTACTCGCCACTGCTCATGATGAATGGAACGAGAGCTGTGATGACATCTCTCATGGTGGTCAACTTTGCAACGCCAACTGTCGACTCGCCTAGAGTAGCATGGTCATATAATGTCGAGCTCACGTCGCTCCTCTTGGATTTGAGGGGCGTCCACTTCCAGTGGAATGTGGTGTATACCGATCCCTCCTCACTGGACCCTACTGACTTGGACAAGCCCTTGGAGTGCTTAGACTCCAAGTTTTCCAGCACCGTTCGGCATATATCTACCGCGAACCCTACGCAGTGGACGCTGACATGACTGGAGCTGCCACTGATCATGCCTGATCTCTTCTGGCAAAGGATGGCACGTTTCTGGAGGAAGCCCGTGTCGTAAATCACGGAGCACGCCTCGAATGAGTGAGAGGAAGGGCTGCTATCGTTGACTGTTGACAGCTCCCGGGCAACTTCCATGACTAACACAATAACGCACTGGTGGAAGAGATCCATGATCTGAAAGTATTCGCGGCCCTTGTGGCTGATCTGGGATTGAGCTGCGGCGAGCTGCTTGTCTCTCTCAGTCACAGGCTCCTCTGCAGTCGTTGGACCGGGCAAGTCGGCCTCGAGCTGTTCTTGCAAACGGCGCTCCCATGTCTTTACCTCGGCAAGAGATATTGCCGCCGACTCTGCTAAGTTGCTTCCGAGAACCTTGAGCTTCGTAGATATCTTGGCTATAGCAGCGATCATATTCTCGTCCCACACCACGCCTTCCACAACACGAACAAGGAGCTGGGCGAGTGTTCCTGTCACGTAATCCACGAGCGCATGGTAACAACGATCACCCTCGCGGGGCATTTTGATAAAAGCCTCGGTGGAGTCTGATGCTTCGTCTGAACCGAAGTTTTCCATCAGCCGTCGACGGCTCAAGCGAAAGTTGCGAGGATTAGACTGTGCTGGGGAATGCTCTAGTAGAATGAGATCATTGTCGGTATAGCATATGTGACTGGCATAGAATAGCTTGACTGCGAGCCTGTCAAGTCGGTTGTAGCCATCTTTGTCTGGCACTCCAAACCACTCGTCCTTGCCTTGAAGTTCAAGAGGCTGTGCCCTGTTGCACACGTCCACAAGTCTGCGAGTTTCCAGCGTCCAAAGTTTCAGTTGCTCGTCTTCCGAGACATCGTAGTTGGTGACTTCGCTAAATAATGGAAGATCGTGGAGTTCGGTGCCGTCCCGTAGCGTGAAAGGGCTATTCCTGAGCTTTTCGATGATCGTGTCCGCATTGAAATTCCAGCTGGTCCGTTTGGGGGCAAATTGGCCCCATTGTTGCTCATCGGCAGCTCGAAGTAAATAGCCAGGGTTTGTTCTTCGTGGCTGATCGTAGCCCACAAGCGTGGCCTGACGCTGCAGCTTCTTCATATTGAACAGAAAAAACAACAATCTTAGGATAAGGTGGCTCCTTGTAGCAGACAGTAATGGAAGGCAAGATGCCAAATGTATACGTCATGTGAAAGGCTGAAAATTACTTGTGAGAGATCATAATTCCAAAATATACATTCTATAACCTATTATTTCGAAGCGAAGTGTGGAGGAAAACAAAAGCGGCCCATTCTTAATAAGAGCGTGAGGTTGCGGCCTGATCGCCATTAGGCGCACCGTCGGACACATCAATCTCATCTACCTTACTTGTCAGCTTAGCCAAATGGCAACACATCCCTGCTTGATACGGAGACCGGTGAGCCGCAGGGAACGTGGCTTGCTTGCCCGATCTCAGCCGCACCTGAGGTGGGCTATATCGGCCCCAAAAGAGACCAATGCTCTGAACAAGATGAGTGGTCATCACAAACGTGCCTACTCAGCTGAATATAAAGGGCGATGATAGCGCCACATACCCAAAGAGGAGCTAAGATTACTGCCCGGCCGTCATGGGCTTACCGTCGGGCACACAAACATGTGCAAGGCAGAATGAAGGCAGACGGTAAGCAGAGCCACACGGCCCATTCGCGATGCGATCCTCTTTCTTTCCATTCCATCCAAACGTCATTGCCATTGGCTCATCTCCCGGATTAATTGATGTCCGGGCAAGACCCAAACTTTTCAGTCGTGTTCTCGACAGACTGCTAAGTGTTAGATGCAGCATTTCTCTCATCATACACTGCTACGCTTTCTCACACTAAATACCCAGACTGAAGCATGGCATCGACCAGCTCCGGATTTGAAGCGACGGAATCTGAGACTCTATTCGGGTCATATGAGGAGGTTCTTCGGGCTCGGTCTTCTGGCCAAGGAGAGGCCGATGATGCTCAACACACTGCGTTACGCTTTAGCGGCCGTCTTTTTGACATCACTGAGCACTGGGACTCACACGATGAGCCTGGTGAGGTCATTCCCACTGGACAGCCGCCCAAGACCGCGGCTCGTTCCATGCATCGATATAGCGAGCATTCTTTGCTAGTACGCCGGATACAGCTCCCTCAACAGGAGCAAAGGATGCAGCTAGAGATTCAGTCTAGTTCCCTTCAGCATGTATTCAGAGAAATCACTGGCCGTCTCCACTCGATCAATGTCATGGCAGACCCAATCATTATCAAAGCGCCATTTCACGAGCTGTATTATTTCCGTGCAGAGTTGGAAGAGAGGAGGACGAAAGTGGCGAATGCGGATCTAAGGCAAGAGTTGAAGCTTTTCAAAGATTTTGAAAATGAACACCTCTCTCGAACCCTTAACATGAAGCAGATTGCTCATCACCAGAAACATGGTACCATAACCTACGAGTACCTCTGGTCCATTTTCAAGCCGCATGAGTTCATACTCCTTCGAAGCCAAATCACGAACAATCTTACCCTCTTATCTTGCGGCATGATGCAGAAATTCTGGATCAACGCAGACACTGGCGAGTGGTGGATACAAATCAGATGTATGGGATACAACGGCCAGCAATTCGGGCCGGTCGAGACCAACTTCAAATTCCAGCCGTTTCCTGGCGTCAAGAACATTCGAGATCTGCCTGCATACCCGTTGTCATACTGCCCAAAGATCGCAGATATCAAGGCGGCACTTCTTGAGAGGGGCAAGGGATTCATCAGGCTCTGCCAAGGCGATGAGCAAACTGATGTTCCAGGCAAATTAAGTGGCTGTCTGCGTGACTATGATGGGCCAGTCTGGGTTCAGCGGGAGAATTGGAAGAAGAATGGCATGGAATTCTTCGATGATCCTCATGATACGGCACGTGTACTAAGCAAGCCTCTCTGCAAAAGACAAGCTAACGGGATCATTTAGATCAGTGGTCGCGTGCTCGTGGACCCGGCCGGGTTCATGAATGAAAAGCCTATATTCAGAGAAAAAGTCATCACGTCAGAAGAACTGGGCAGAATACCGGCGATGAGGATCTCTGAATTTAGTGAAGATGAACTCATGATGTTTCCTGCGATGATCGCCGGCTATTCCCTCACTGAGAAACATGTTGGGTATTTCGACGTGAGCAGCTTCAAAGACGTCACCTGGGAACGCGAGGAAGCACAGCACCTGCATGATACGTCTCCAATCACAAGACTCCTTCTGAACATTACCTCTGGCTTCCGGTATACTTCTTCTGCCTTTGGGTATTCGATCCAACGCAAGGGTCAAGGCTTAGTGCTCTTGTTTCATGAGCGGCCCGGGACCGGCAAGACGCTTACAGCAGGTATGATCTAAGCCTGCAGTATATCATATGGTTTGATGTCTGTTGCGAAATTGAACATCGGCTAACGCTGCTGTTTTCTCAAAGAGTGCATAGCCGAATACCTCAATCGACCTCTTTATCGAGTCAATGCAGCCGATATGGGCTCTGGGATCTACCAGGTCGAGGAGAACCTACAGTCAGCATTTCGAAGAATTTCTCGCTGGAATGCCATTCTCTTACTTGACGAGGCAGATGCCCTCATGTCAAGTCGTGGCGATAATACTGAAGATAACACATTAGTCTCGGGTGCGTTTTATGTACGTGTACTAGCCAGAACGATGCTAACAACAACACTAGTTTTGCTGCGACTCCTAGAATACCAATCTGGAATCGTCGTCTTGACGACAAACCGCGTCCGATCATTCGATGAAGCAGTCCTCTCTCGCGTCCATGTCAACATTAAATTTCCAGATATTGGGCCAGAAGCACGTGAGATCATTTGGCGAAAGGTAGCTAAGGGGAACACAGCCTTGTCAGATGCTCATTTTAGTGAGCTCCGTAAGCTCGAGCTTGACGGAAGAAGCATTAGTAACGTTTATCACGTGGCTCAGCTGTATGCAAGAGCTCGGAACGATGAATCAGGGAGTACTGTGTTATTCACAGACTTACAAGAAGTGCTATTTATATCTATGGGGAATGGGTGTGATAATTTGAAAAAGCAAGCAGAAGAGTTTTGTAATTAAGGGTTATGTGTTGAATTGATGTTATGCCTTTCGGAACGAAGAGGAGAAAGGATCTTTCTTCCGCGCCCTCCTTAGCAAGCTCGGATCATTAACGACAAGACTTATGATGGCGCGACGTGAGATCCGAAAAGGGAAGGCTTTAGTTCCCCCGGAAGAGGTCATGCGTATAATAGATGGCCCAGACCGCCAGAACGCTGAAGAAACAGCCCTTCGGAAAGAAGGGCGTCATCCACGTATAAGTTATTAAAATTATTATTATTATAATAAAAGGAATTATTAAAAACCATTAAGGTCTTAAGTTTTAGGATTGTATTTTTTAAGCTATATTTATTTCAATCTTATAAGTTCTAGTCTACGTTCTAATCTAATAGAGGTGAGAACTCACGACCTTGAACCAGGCAACATGGACTGGCACTAGTAAGCTACAGCTTAGGGTACTGCGTCGGTGAAACTCAAATTTTGCAAAAAGAATGAGGCCCCTTACACAATGGAGTATTTTTTGCTCGCTTGCAATGTCATAACAAACCCTAGTTTGGCACCGGGGGGTTGTAGTTGTGCGCCCAAGGCAAAACCGAGGGTCGGTCCGGATTTCCGAAGCATTGGAACTGCCGGCAATCCACTTGCACCAAGGGAGCGGCTATTTGTGCTACCTCATGGCCATTTGTCGCTGTTCGGGGCTGAACATAATGCCCGGTAGATGTATGGTAGGATAACTACGTAACCGAGGAGCCGAAATCTATGTTTCCCATCATCGTACGTTTTTCCAAGCCGTGTAATGTGATGTGCAATTGCTTGTATCAAGTACCATATATCTACTGATTTTGAAAGCTGCTCTGTTGAGATGAAACATGCATGTTGAACCTCACTTTTGTTTCTTTCTTTTTCTTTTGAAAACCAGTCAGAATCTTTTGACCATTTGGTGTGTATGAGTTTGGCCTGCCATTGAATTGTATAAACCACAAACATGGGTTCGGTAGCACCAACAACGAACGGAGACACGCAAATTAGAGAGCTTGATGTTCTAGTTATTGGCGCCGGCTTCGGCGGATGCTATAGTCTGCACAAATTTCGCAAGGCGGGCTTCAAAGTCCACGTCTACGAGGCAGGTAGTTATCTTGGGGGCGTCTGGCATTGGAATAGGTATCCAGGGGCACGCGTCGACTCTGAAATTCCATATTACCAGTTTTCCCTGCCAGAGCTATGGCGTAAGTGGAACTGGACTGAGCGATTTCCCAGCGGTGGCGAGCTGAGAGAGTACTTCAAGTTCGTTGACGAAAGGCTGGATCTGTCCAAGGACATCACCTTCGGCGCCAAGGTCGTCCGCGGAGAGTTCGACCAAGCGGCTGCCAGGTGGACAGTTGAGACTGAAGTCGGTTGGAAAGCAACTTGCAAGTATCTGATCTGTGCGACTGGAAGCTCGTTCAAGCCGCACTATCCGGCGTTCAACAACCTAGAGAAGTTCAAGGGTCGACTCATACACTCAACCGACTGGCCGGCGGATGCAGATGCAAATATTGATGGCAAGAAGGTCGCTGTGATTGGATCAGGCGCCACTGCAATCCAATGCTGCCAGGAGATCTCAAAGAGGGCAGAACATATGACGACCTACATCCGCACTGCTAGCATCTCTCTGCCTATGGTCCAACGTCCCCTCGGCGAGCTTGAGCAGAGAATTGAGAAGGCAACCTACAATAGAATGTTTGACTATTGTAGGCAGACCGCAGCAGGGCTGGGCTACGATCGCAAATTCGGGAGTGTGTATGAGCTTAACGACGAGGAACGTGAGGAATTCTGGGAGGAACTGTGGTCTCGCGGCGGCTTCAACTTCAACCAAGCCAACTACCGCGACTTCCTTATCGATAAAAAGGCAGGCGAGCTGATGTATCAGTTCTGGGCTAAGAAGACGCGCCCGCGAATCAAAAACCATTCAAAGGCGGCCTTCCTGGTCCCCGAGAAGGCACCCTTCCTCTTTGGCACCAAGAGGAGCAGCTTAGAGCAAGACTATTATGAGTGCATGGACCGGGACAATGTTTCAATCGTTGATCTTAAAGCCCACCCTATTCAAGAATTCACTGAGAAGGGCATTGTCACCCAAGATGGCCTCGAAGAGCAATTTGACACTGTTATCATGGCCACGGGCTTCGACGCTATGACTGGAAGCCTCACCAACATGAACATCAAGGGAACGGATGGACTGACCTTCAAGGAACGGTGGAATAATGGTGTATTTACTCATCTAGGTCTTTGCAGCAATGGATGCCCTAACATGTTTCTCGTCTACGGGCCTCAAGGTATGTCGTACTTGCCACTTTCCCTCCATATATTGAAAGGGAATTTGCGAAGCCTTATTGACGATATCTTAGCTCCTACTGCCTTCACTAATGGGCCGGTGTTTATCGAGAGCCAAGTCGAAGTTCTTCTCGAATTGCTCCAAAGGCTGGAAGGAGAGGGCGTGAGTTCTATCGAGGCTACGCGCCCTGCTGAAGAACAGTGGAAGCAGGCCATGCAAGAGGACGCCGCCAAGACCTTGCTCCCGTTGACAGACTCGTGGTACATGGGGGCAAACATTCCAGGAAAACCTCGAGAACAGCTCAACTACATGCGTGGGATCCAGGCATACATTTCTGAAGTTCGGGAGGCGTTGAAAGATCTGAAGGGATTCACTGTCGTTTATAAAACTTAGTGTATGTAGGAGATTTAGCACCTGTTCATTGTGTTGAGATGTCCGGTCTGGGATTTTTCATTGCTGTTTTGAACTTTATACTCGAATTCGCTTCCGTAGATTTAGCACCAAATAACGACTAAAGCTAGAGAATAACGTATATCTTCATAAGATCCACGAGGAAATGTCAAGTTATAAGTCTTTGAGCAAAATTGCATCTGGCGAAAAGGAGCCGATTGATGGCTGAGATCTTTTGGCTTGATACTGGGAAGGGGGGAGCTGCTTATGCTTTTCAATATAAATAATACCTTTGAACAGTCTAGACAAGCAAAGATTACGCTCTTGTTGTAGAAATTGAGAAATATCTATCTAGGCATTCATGTTGATAAGCACCGTTTTTGGCTCCGTAAAGAGCCTCAAAGCATACTCTCCAAATTCTCTCCCGATCCCACTCTGTTTCTTACCTCCAAATGGCACTTGAATGTTTTGCACACTGACGCAGTTAATTCCCACCACACCAGATTCAATGTTGGCCGACACACGGAGGGCTCGGGTAATATCCTTTGTGAAAATGCCAGCCATAAGTCCGAATTCGGAGTCATTAGACAGCCTGACGACCTCATCCTCGTCCTTGAACGTTTTGATGATGCTGACCGGCCCAAAGATTTCCTCTTTATAGACTTCAGCATCGTTCTTGGGATTGAGGAACACGGTGGGCTGCATAAAGCAACCGCTCTCCCCATGCCTCGCACCCCCAACGAGCAACTCAGACTCGGACTCCGATATACCTCGCTCTACTATTGCGCGAACGCGTTCGAGATGGCCTTCATCAACTAGCGGACCAAGCTTGACTGAAGGGTCCTGGGGATCGCCTAGGTCATCCGCCGCAGCCTTCATCTTCTCCACATAGAGCTTGATGAACCTTTCAGCAATTCCCTCTTGAATGTAGACCCTTGATGCAGCAACACAAAGCTGCCCACTTCGTGTTATGATTCCATTCACAGTCCAGGTGACGGCGTTATCCAGATTTGCGTCATCGAATACTACCGCTGGACTCTTACCGCCAAGCTCCAAGGTAACCCGCTTTAGATTGCTTCTCGCAGCCATCTCTTGGATTTTTCGCCCTGTACTTACAGAGCCAGTGAAGCTAATCTTGCGGATTTTCATGTGCTCAGCTAGGAGTGCACCAGTCGAGCCTGGGCCGGTGATGACTTGTACCACACCTGGAGGGAACCCGGCCTTTTCAAAAAGGCTCGCAACAGCTAAAGAACCTAGGGGTGTTTTTTCGCTAGGTTTGATGATGATGACGTTGCCTGTTGCCAGTGCTGGAGCGCTCTTCAGAAAGAAGGTTGCTATGGGCGCATTGAATGGATTAACCGCTGCACAGACTCCCAACGGCTCATGGCGAACGAATTTTACAAATCCTGGATGGTACGTGGTTAGCCATATTGGTCATATTCTAGAAGTCTCGTGTGCGAGAGCTTGCATATTGCTCATACCATCATCAGCGGGGAAGTAGTCGCCCTTTTGCTTGTCTGTCCACCCAGCATAGTAGATGAGACAGTTCCTGATGTAGTTGGTCTCACGAACTGGAGCCAGAGAAACCGGGATTCCAGAGGTGAGGGAATCCAAAGTGAGAATCGGAGCGAGCTCCTCGTCGAGGATTGATACGAGCTTCAGCATGCACTCGGTTCTCTGGATGGCGGTAAACTTGCTCCAAGGCCCCCTGAAAGCATCCTCGGCAAATTTAACTGCGGCGTCGACATCTTCTGCCCCAGCGATGGGAACTTCTGATGTGACGACCGAATTATCCTTTGGATTCTTGAGAGTGTACGTATCTGTGGACTGAGCAGATACGTACTGGCCGTTGAGGTAGAGTTTTGTGAAACTCTTCGGGTCTAAAGCTTTCCCGCTCATTGTGTTCGATTGCCTAAAGCGGGTTTTAGTCAGATGTGTTTACTGACAATTGGTGATATTTCCGCGTGCCTGCTCACTGTCTCGGCTGATACGAATAAGGGCGGCGTTCTTTAAAGAAACACACTATAGCGTCAGCCAGTGAATGAAGTCATCTGCAGCCCGCCCCCGGATTTCCGGGCCGAGGGTACTGAAATCAGAACGGGGCTGTCGGCGTAGATGGGACAAGTTCATGGACCCACGGATCGGCTACTTCGTCTCTGGGCTAGATAAAACAAACGTACTCAGTAGCCGGCTCCAAGAAATGCAGACAAAATTCTTGTAACGTTTTGACCGGATATACTGATAAACGCACCCCATGGCAAACAAGATGGACGTTTGGGCTTTGACGGAGTGGGATAAGCCCCTAGAAAAGATCTCACAAGACATACCTACACCAACAGGAACGGAGGTTCTCATCAAAGTGTCCCATGTCGGCGTCTGCCACTCTGATTTACACTTTGCACAAGGCCACTATGACATGGGTGGGGGCAAGAAATTCTACGTTAAAGATCGTGGTGCAAAACTTCCAGCTGCACTGGGCCACGAAATACTTGGACAAGTCGCAGCTACGGGGCCCGAGGCGGCACATCTAGGAATCGGCACAAAGCAGATTGTGTATCCTTGGATTGGATGCGGCGAATGTACTCGTTGCGGACAAGAGAATGACAATCTATGTGCTGCTCAAAGGTGTCTGGGCACCTTGAGGAACGGTGGATTCGCCGAGTACGTGTTGGTTCCACACTCCAAGTATCTTGTTGAACTAGGGGACCTTGACCCAGCCGTGGCATGTACATTTGGCTGCTCTGGCATTACGACTCTCAGTGCCGTGCGGAAGATTCTACCGCTGCCCGTTAATGAGCCTGTTCTGCTCATTGGAGCTGGAGGCCTAGGCCTTGCTGCCATCTCGGTCCTCAAGGCTTTCCGTCATCAAAACATTGTCTGCGCTGATGTCAACGATGAGAAATTGACGGCTGCAACCAGAGCTGGCGCAATCGCAACCATCAATACCGCCAAGTCTGACTCACCAGTTGCTGATATCCTAAAGGCAACCGGCGGGCCTCTCCTCGCTGTCATTGACTTTGTCAACAACACAGCCACAGCGACCATGGTTAACAATCTTGTTGCAAAGGGAGCCAAATGGGTACAGGTTGGTGTTATGGGAGGCACGGTTGAGCTGTCACTTGTCGGAAACATTTTCAAAGGGCTGACTATCTACTCCAATATCACTGGCAACCTTGAGGAGCTAAGGACAATAACAGAAATGGCCAAGCGGGGAGATCTCGGTTCAATAGCCATAGAGAAGATGCCATGGGACTCAGTAAATCAAGCTATGGACTTGCTGAGAGCTGGCAAAGTCTCAGGACGCATGGTGCTTGTGAAATAGCCACATAGAATAATCACATAGCGCATTGCCGAATACACGATGACTCAACGCAGGTCCTAAAAATGAGTTTACAGAGATCGAAATAACCCGCTTTCTTGTTCTGAACAAAGACTGTGGGTGGTTGTTGTGAAGGGTGAAGGGCTGAGGGGTGAGGGGAGCTTTTCCTGTGCGATTTGTGTTATTCTCCAGCGGTAAGATGGCGTGCTCGTATTGCAACAAATAATAAGAGATGCTACTCGTTGGTTTTGTATCTCGTTGGCATCTAAACCAATATCTCAAAGAGTCTTCAGGCTCCTACTCAGGGCGTGGTTAGATGTAATCTCCAGTAGCATCCAAAGCTTTCTGCGAACATTAAGACGCTCATACAAGAGTGATAGTCACATTTCTAAAACAGGTGTATTATGAAGCACAGTCGTATTCATTGTGTTGAGTTGTCGGGCTCTGGCAGCTTCCATTGCTGTTGAACTTTATTCTCTTTCTCTTAGGGTGAAGCACAGTAGTAGGGATTATGGTATAACATCGTTGACAGATTTCAGCGCTCGACATCCTATCTCACGCCATGCCCAGGAACACCCCGGTACCAATACGGTAGTTATGTCTATAGTCTGTATTCCCAAGTCCCCATATGTAGACGCACCTCAGACTCGCTTGTGCTCGACATTTTCGACTTCTTCATGCCCACTGGATCCCTTCAAGTCTATTTCGTTAATGACGTGCGCCTCATTGAGCTCACTCTGGAAAACCACAACGTCTGATTCGTCGCCGAAAAGGACCGCAATTTCCTCAAGTGGCTTGCCCAGGGTGTTTGGGAACCAGAGAATAGTAGCAACTCCTCCAAAGGCTGCCTGTACAATGAATAGAATGTAATATTTCCACCCGATGCTGTTGAACGCCTGAGGGGCAGCCGCAGTCCAAACCAGATTAGAAAGACACATGGCTCCGATACCGAGGGAAAACCCTTGTGCGCGCACCTGCGACGGCCAGATCTCTCCAATGTAGAAGAACATGGGGCCGTCAAGGAAGACCACGTAGAAGAAGACGTACAGGTATATCATGGCCACTGCGCCGGCCAATCCTGCTTTGTTTTCACCTCCCAGGAAGTTCTTCTGCAATGCTGCCTCGACGATCAAAGTGCACATACAGAGGAAAAAGCCCGTGGCGAACATGTACGTCCGGCTAACCCTATCGACAAATGTCATGGAGACAAAGGGGGCAATCATAACGATGCAAACCCAGCCAGCCAGGAAGAGGAGGGTATCAAGCGGGCCATAACCCAGGCTTGCAAAGATGGCCGCTCCGTAGTCTGGATAGGTGGTCAGTTGAGCACTATTATCCGGGCCAAATGGACGACTTACTGTTGATGACAAGCACTCCAGACCCAACCATGCACCAAGTCAAGTAGATGGTGATTAGAGCGCGCTTGCGCATCGTTGGATGTTTAAATATCTGGACATACGACATCTTTCGGGCAGTGTCGAATTCAATTTGCTTCTGAATTTGGTAGAATTCAATTTCAGCAAAGTGATGGCTGTCGCGGCCGCTTCTGGTGTGAAGGCTTTGAAGGCTAGACAGCGCTTCTTTATGACGGCCCTGGGCAATGAGATATCTCGGGGACTCTGGTAGCCAATACATGACTGTAAGAAGGAGTCCGGGGAAAAGCATCTGCAAACCAGTTGACCCTCGCCACTGGCTATCCCCACTGACGAAATAAAAGCCGACAGAGCTGAAGGCAGCCACCACGTAGCCTACCCCGATGTTGACAGCGATGATATTTCCAAGTATTCCGCGGTGAGAAGGAGGTGTGATCTCAGTGACCCAGGTAGGGATCGTAGAAAGAAACTGATATGAACTGGATGCTTCAAATTAGCATCAAAGTATTGTTTATAGAATCGGGTTCAGACTGACGACCAGCCGCAAAAGAAGCGGAACGTAATGTAGACTGTGATATTGGTTGACGCGGTGCAGATGGCTGAGGCGATAATCATGATGATGCACGAAACTGTTGCGGACATCTTCCGCCCATAGCGATCGGCAAGTATGCCGTGGCAGAAGGATCCAAAAACGCCGCCAGCGTAGTACACAGCGAGCACAGCAGAGATCAGAGCATCAGCGTGTTTGGAGGTATCCAGTCCCATCTTAGAGAGAAAGGAGGGCTGTCCCAGGGTTGAACCTATGACGCTGTTGGAAAATCCGAAGGCCGCTGAACCGAAACAGATGAAAATGATAACGAAGACCAATCTGCCACCAAAGTGCCGACCCCCATGGTCAGGGACATCCTGTTGGGTGGTCATTGTGGAGGTCAATATGACAGAGACTATGTATATGATAATAGGTCCAAGGAAGACAAACTCGCAACTCTTGTTTCATCTTATTCATTAGACGAGAGGGAGGGTTTGTGGCTTTTTATATACGGATATCTGTGGGAAGACGCCGACAGTCTGAACGACGGCAAATATTGAAAGTCTAGCCATGTATGGCACTAGCTTAATATATTAACTATCAACAGCTGTCTCACTAAACTAGAGACCATGTTCATTGCGTCGGTCGGTGGAGGTATTCAACACATTGTCAATAAGGAGGAGGGCCTGCATGATATGGACTTGTGTACCACCTTGCTGGAAACTGTCCACTATTCAAGTTCAAGGAACAATATTGAAAGAATCAATGCCCTACTCTTTCTGTTGGCAGTCAGCGGTTACGACCTGACGCTCGATAGCAGCAGTGTCGCAGAGTCCTGATCTTGGCAGGAATGTGTGGAGACAAATCCGGGGGACCAAGCCCCCTCCTCCCCACTCGCCCCATGGGGAAGCTTCATTCTACCAGTGCCCTGGCTCTGGAGTCCTAATGACCGAGAATTCTAGTCACAGGGATGATGGCGTCGGCTCGGGGAGTCGTGGATGTGACTAGAGTCAACGCCAATCGGTTACTATCGTCGGTTAGAAATTGACGGACCGTGATTTCCGAGGCTATAGAGAGGGGTGGGGACATTCGGAGACAATATTGGCCAGGCTCTTACACGACTGTAGGATGGCATGCGGGGAAGGGCACCGATAGTTCAAAGACTGACTTCGGGTAGCACCATCGTATGGAGGTCTGTTGGTTGTGTTGGATGGTGGAATTCACCTATCTATGGCAATGGGTCCACCTCTGCCTCGGCTATCCCAACAACAGAACAGATTCTCCTACTCTCGGTGAGAATTAGAACCAATGCGTCACACCTTGACCTTCATCCGGCCGGAAGCACTCATGTGGCAACCTGTCTGTGTAGAATCATGGAGCTTTTTCAACTTTTTTTGTGCTGTATGAGTTCCTTGTTTGGTTGGATGGGGGCGTTGCGTAAAGATAGAGAATGACTGGGAAGCTTGAAAGGATTGCAATAATCATCTCACCAAGACGATACACTTGCAATTATGGGTGTCCTCATGCTAAATTCTACTCTTGGTTTGCTCATTTGATGGATTAAATTAGGGATGGCAACGACTAAATGATGGCGCCTAACTCAGTAGATGGACTCCTGCACTGGGTTTCGATTTCTCCAAAAGTCGGACCACTTGAACGCCTTCGCCTTCTTCCGGAATTGACCAATTCCATGCTCACCCTCGGATCCAGGCACCATCATGTTTTCAAAAGTCTTCTGGATGAGGCGCGCTTGAGTCTCACTCTCAGGATGATCCCAAGCAACCCTTGTCAACTCCTTGTTAATGGCGGCAGAGCGAGGGGCGCATTTCTCCAGCTGGTCTAGATAGTTGTCGACAAGAGATGGAAGAGGTGTATCCTCACTGCTGATTCGGTGGATGGCACCTACTCGGTGCAATTCTTCAGGGGCGATCTCTCTTCCAGACATCATGCCTTCCCTAGCCATGGATGGCCCCCATTCCCTCACAAGGTACTTCGATATAACAGCTGGGCTCACGCCTATCTTGACCTCACTCAACGTCCAACGAGCTCGCGGTGACACGAGGCGAACATCACATGCAAAAGTCAGCCCAACGCCACCACCGTAACAAGGTCCATCAACGACGGCGATTGTGGTCTGAGGCACATGATCGAGCGCATCGTATAAAGCTACAACTTTGGAGTAGTAGCTTGACTCGCCAGAGTTGGCTGTCTCTGTCTTGCCGCTCAAATCCATGCCTGTGCAGAAATATTTGCCTTCTGACTCGAGGATTACATGGTAAATTAATGACTCCAGGTAAAGGTTCTTGAATAGTGCAGTTAGTCCCTCCAGCATGGAATCTGTCAGGGCGTTACCGTTCTTCGGGGAAGTCAAGGTGACTTTTATTATAGACCCAGAACGAGAAACGCGGTACTCTCCGGTATCTTCCACCACCTGCCAAGATCGCTTTGACGTGGAAGGTTCCGTTGGTGTCGATTTCGGTTTTTGAATGGATGCTTTCTTCTTAGAAGCTATGGCCACACCAGCCCTACTTGCGTAAGGGATGCCGATCTCATTGGATATCCACTGGCCAACGGTGCAGAGCGCTCCAAGATTTATGCCAGTGCTGATACCAGAGTTTTCAAGTGTGTAAATGACATCTTCAGTGGCCACATTACCTCGGGCGCCCGGTGCATAGGGACAGCCACCCAGACCGGCAACGCTGCTATCGAACTTCCTTATGCCTAGATCGTAAGCACGGACGATGTTGGCAACGCCTTGGCCGTATGTATCGTGAAAATGCCCGGCAAGTTTGTTGGCCGGGATCTCTGCTAGCAGCGTCTCAAGTAAATCTTGAACCTTCTTTGGAGTGCCAACACCCAGCGTATCTCCTAGCCCGACTTCATAGCATCCCATATCTAACAATCTGCGTACTACTGGCAACACAGCTTCGGGCGGCGTGGGACCAGAAAATGGATCTGAAAAGATACAGGACACAACACTTGAATGATAACGTGGTTAACAACCCAACTATCTCTAGGGTAATGTTAAACACTCACCCACGAACTCGTATTCCAAGATGGAGAGCCTCTTTTGTAACCGCTTCACAGTGCAGGAGAGCTTGGTCAACGGTACAGTTCTGATTGGCCTTGCTGAAGGCTTTTGTTACAGACGCGAAAACAACAATCTCCTTTGCGCCTGCCGCATGGGCGTTCTGTAACCCCTTTTGGTTGGGAGCCAGCACAGGGTAGTTGAGCTGGCGAGATTGGTATTCGTGGCCGGGATGCTGCAGGATCTGTTTCATCACCAGGGCACCATCTGCAAGCTGGGGAACCCATTTTGGCGACACAAAAGACGTGGCCTCGATATTCACCAAACCCGTATCGGCAAGTCGGCGGATGAGCTCAACCTTGGTGGCGGTAGGGATGGTAGTCTTGATGTTCTGCAATCCGTCCCGTGGGCCTACCTCGACGATTTCAACATCCCTACTGCTGTTCAGACTAGAGTAGAGTCTGGTGGGAAGACGTGAGGACGAGAAAGTACTGAGACAGCAGTCTCTCAGTGCTGGAAGTCTGATCGAATTGGCAGGCCAAGGTGGGCGGGAACGGATAGCAACGATGGCCATGATTAATGGTTGATGTTCGGATTAGTGGCGGTAGATAGGACGACAATGAGCCAGTGAACGACCGATTCGCCATCAAGCTTAACAATAACCCTTCTTTCCCACTGGTCATATGGAATGCTGGGGTTACCTAATCCTCGAGATTTGCATGAGTACACTGCTCGGCAAAAGCTGTTCAGCTGGTCGGATAGTAGCCGTCCATGGAGAACTTGGCTATCGTATGCGTCTTAGGCCGAGATGGGGAGAAGACAGCCGAGGCAAATAACCAGCCAACCAAAACTAGTGGTAGAATGAAAGACCTGGGAATCACCCTCACACGTGATGTATGCTGGATGATTCTAGTTTGACTGCAGAGCACTTTGATTAAGGAGACGGTAATGTAGGGGGTGTAATCAAACCAAGCGTCGCTACGTAAAAGAAACGGAGCATAGGCACAGGGCTACTGTCCACTGACATTGGCATCAATGACCTAGCTGTCCCCTTATCGCATTTTCAGTTGAAAAATGCGTTTTACTCTTGATGGCGCTGATCTGTTCCTACAGACAGTGACTAAAAACAGCCCAGGGCAGCTTGGTGGGTGATGGATTGCAAGTTCCCGAGGCTATGCGTTGGAATAGCCGCCGATAACGCTGCCTACGAGCTACGCAACATCGATCAGTTTGTTTTTTGTGGGCTGTTTGTGCAGTACCTACCTCCATAAGCAAATGTACAGTACGTACAAGGTACACAGATGAAGTCCTCACTGGGTATGCGAAACACGTACACGTACAAAGTACAGAGCCAAACTACCTACTTGCTAGAGAACCATCGCGTTTTACTCGTAGGATACAAGAAGCTCATGCCTCCTTGGATGTTCAGGCTGGTCGTTTCATTTTTACCTCCGTGTGTACGTTCTGAGCTCATTGCCATTTCAAAATGTCCAGACGTATCTTGCGACCGGCTTCATTATTGCCACGATCGTCCCTTACAACATGGTCGAGTCGCGCGACAGCTACTTCGTCCAAAGCTTGGACCTGTGCGGTCAACAGCCAACACGCCAGGCGCATCCACGCCCGCGCAAATGAGTACCTCCCCACCAACCTACCAGAGTGGAATGAATCCCAGCGCGGCGTGAGAGAGGCTATCGCGAAGATTTGCTCTCAGTACACCGACGAGTACTGGATGGAGAAGGATACAGAGCACAAATTTCCCTGGGAACTCTATAATGATCTAGCTGCAAACGGCTGGCTTGGTATCTGCCTCCCAGAGGAGTACGGAGGCTCTGGGTTGGGCATCTCCGAGGCGGCTGTTATGTTGCAGACTATTTCGGAATCAGGGGCGTGTATGAATGGAGCTTCCTCTGTACACATGAACATTTTCGGGCTGGAGCCTGTGGCCAAATTTGGCACAAAGGAGCAAAAAGAGCGTTGGCTAGTGCCTCTTATCCAAGGAAAGGAGCGGGCATGCTTTGGGGTTACAGAACCCAACACTGGCCTGGATACCCTCAGACTGCAGTCTATTGCTACTAAACACGGAGATCACTACCGCATCAAAGGATCTAAGGTCTTTATCTCTACAGCCCAGGTGGCAGAGAAGATCCTCCTTCTCGTCCGAACTGCACCCTTCGACGCCAACAAGCCCAGCCATGGCCTTTCGCTCTTCTATACTGATCTGGACCGCTCTCAGGTTCAAATCACTGAAATCCCCAAGATGGGTCGCTCAGCTGTTGATACTAATACCCTCTTCTTTGAAGACTGGAAAGTGCCAACTGAGGATCTGGTCGGTCAGGAAGGCGAGGGATTCAAGATGATTATGCACGGGATGAATGCGGAGCGGATTCTTGTTGGTGCTGAGGCTCTAGGTATCGGCTACGCAGCACTGCGTCGTACTAGCCACTACGTCAACGAGCGAGTTGTTTTTGGCAACCCGATTGGCAAATATCAGGGTATACAGCACCCTCTAGCGGAATGCTGGATGAATCTAGAGAGTGCGCGGCTGATGATATACCTGGCTGGTCGGATGTACGATGATGGCTATACAGACGGAGAGTATGCAAATGCAGGCAAATTCCTGGCCTCGGAGAGTGCTTTCAAGGCCGCTGAGAGAGCTATAATGTCTCATGGGGGGATGGGGTACGCCAAGGAGTATCATGTTGAGCGCTACCTACGCGAGGCTACTTTGTCCCGGATTGCGCCCGTTAGCGGAGAGATGATTAAAAATTACATCGGACAGAAGGTACTGGGACTCCCCAAGAGTTATTAGGTTTAGAGAATTTCAACTAGCTTCTGGGATGTGTCGAAAGTCCGTTTTAAAGTTAGCTGCTATCCAACAGATTTACTAGTAAATACCACCAGAGACCACGGCCTTCCACGAATAGGGAGGTAAGCTTCTATTCTGCGATCGCTGTGGCCCTGAATAACCTTTATTCTAACGTGACGAGCGGTTGGTACAGGCTTAGACATCGGCAAATCGCCGCACGACAAGTCCCTGAGCATGAACGGTACTGCCGAGGCTGGATGACGGGGCTGGAGGAAGGCGAGACTAATGCAGTTGGAGCGTAGTGGTCCAAGTTACAATTTACCTCCTGGTGCTAGAGGCGGCCGGCTTCTGCGTTGTGCATGGTCCGATCCGGAGCAACCTGGGGAGTGCCCGAGGTAAGCTGATAATTGGGGCTTGTTTGCCATTCCGGGATTTATACACCATACACCTATTTCTCTTCATAGGGAAGGGTACATGGATATGCTGCACGTACTGGATAAATTTATTACGAGCATAGATATACTCTGGAACTGCTCGTCAAGCTCATCTTTTCAGCCGACGACACGGACCAGAACTAATAGGTTGAAGTATCATAATGAATATCATGTTGCATCGTCTCGGAAGATTCTCTGGCCTCAATACGGGGCATGCAGAGCTGACTTTATTGAGGAATAAACAATCGTTGATTCAACGTGGATATTCCACCCGAAAATATTCCCAATCGACAGCACCATCGAACATGGGGGACCTGAAGAGCCAGGGGGCACTCGCCGGCCTGAAGATTTTAGATCTTTCACGAGTTTTGGCGGTAAGGCTTGTTTCCTAGTCTCTGATATGAGTAGAAAGATTTGTTAACATTTTTCTTTCCTCTTGGTGCGGCAGGCCCCATTCTGCTCACAGATTCTAGCAGATTACGGCGCGGATGTCATCAAGGTTGAGACTGTTGATAAAGGAGTATGCTTCCACTAGCTATATATATTATCAGTGCGACAATGGTGCCCATTGGACCTAGGCTAACATGGGAGACCAACTACATCTAGGATGACACAAGGCATTGGCAGATGACGGGAGAAGCGGCGACTTGGAAGAGGTCCGCCGGCCCAATCTCCAACTACTTCTCTGCCGTCAATCGAAACAAAAGATCCATCACCTTGAATCTAAAACATGACAAAGGCAAGGAAATCCTGAAGAAGCTGACCCTGAGCGCCGATGTGGTGTAGGTCTCCCGGACCCGCGTCTTGTCGAGCCGGCAAGACTGGAGCAGAACAGTTCACTGATGAGATGAGCCTTTCTGCGCAATAGAATTGAAAACTTCAAACCTGGAACAATGGAAAAACTGGGACTTGGATACGACACACTAAGAGAAGGAAATCCAAAGCTCATCTATGCCAGTCTTTCCGGTGAGTCAACAATTCGTGGACTCGTACCTGATTTCTACTCGACTCTTGGAGAGCGCAATATTGACGTCGGCTCCCTATAAGGATACGGAAGATCTGGGCCATACGCCAAGCGCGGAGGGTATGACCCGATCGCAGCAGCAGAAGCCGGCCTCCTTCATATTACTGGAGAGCGGAATGGCCCTCCTGTACGAGTAGGCCTTGGGATGGTAGACATGTCCACAGGTCTCTACCTCCACGGTGCCATCCTCGCGGCTGTAATTGCTCGTCAGCGTGACGGGCTAGGTCAACGCGTAGACACATCACTGTTCGGAACCCAAGTCAGCATGCTAATCAATGTTGGGCTATCCTGGCTGAACATGGGTATCGAAGCTCAGCGCTGGGGTTGCCAGCACCCCAGCATTGCTCCGTATGATGCGTTTGAAACCAAAGACGCCTACCTCGTCTGTGGCGCGACTAATGACGTCCAGTTTTCTGCTCTCTGTAGGCTTCTTGGGCTTGGGGAGCTGGCCAAGGATGAGCGCTTCGCAACCAACCCGAAGCGCGTCGAGAATCGGGACACGCTAGGTCCGATGTTCAATGAGGTTTTCCGGACGAAGACGACGGCTGAGTGGGTTCCCATCTTCGAAGCTACAGGTCTGCCTTTTGGACCCATCAACAACATGGAACGCACTTTTGCTCATCCACAGACTGAGGCACTTGGCATGGTCAATCAGGTGAAGCTGGATGCAGCTGAATCGGGTCAGCTTCGTCTAATTGGGCCGGCGGTCAAGTTCAGTAGGACTGAGACGTCGTTCAGGCGTGCGCCTCCAACCCTCGGGCAACACACGTCGGAGGTATTAGAGGAGCTTGGAATGGAGAGCTCGGACGTGGCGCTGTTGAAGGAGCAGAATGTGGTGTAGATATGACACATCTGGGGTAATTCTATAGGAATGATACTACATTCTAATGCCCTGTCAGCTGCGACTCGATATATTTATGATATCTGCGAGTACTTCATATTTTACATGCGTTTACCATCCTAGTTCGGTTGATAAGACACGCAAATATATACACATAGGAGAGTAATATGTAAGAGGTAGCTCTACGAAAGATACGCATTAGACCCTTTCTTCTAGCATTGACTTTTTTCACTCTCGGGTCTTCGGACTCGGCGACTGAACTGCATTGGAGGCTACCAGTATGCGCCGTCTCAAAGATGACTCGTAAATGTTTTTATTAGACCCAACCTATTCCCCTTCCTTCCCCTTCCTTCCTTTATCTTAACGTAGTCTGGAGTAGTTTATTTCACCCTTCTATAACGCCTTGATGGTGGGCTACTATATGTTCGCAATTTACGCCTGAACCCCATTCGGCTATTTCTATCCAGTCCAAGATCTCGTTATGAAATCTGAAACCGTAAGCATAATCATACTGTGAAAAGGATCGTTATCAGCACTTGGCCATTATCAATCCACCGACTGGTGCATCTAGTACTTACGCATGGGGAGCAACGCGAAAGAAGTAGGGCACAAAGCCGCGCCCAAACGCGCTCAATCCCTCCGTCTTAGCCACCTTGATAATGCAGTCTAGAAAGCCCCTGTAAGCCACGCCATCGCCTGCCTGACTGCTTTGCCATTGCATCCTGGTCTTGACGAAATCAAACGGCAGACTCAATACCGTCGCTGAGAATCCCGCAATAGCTGAAGCCACGAGGGACTGCATGTAGGGTGAGAGATTGGTATTTACGGCCAGCTGGTGCTTGGACTCTGAGAAAAAGGTTAGCTGCCCGAAGTTCGTGGAGCATGCGCGGATAACAGTCGGAGATGTGCCGCTCCAGAGTCCCTTGATGCCTTCAGTCCGGATGATCCTCCCAAGGGCATCAAAGACCGAGCGGTAGTTTGCCCGCTCTGCTGGCGGTTTGGCGCCATCACTTTGCATCCGAACAAGGGCAACCTCTGTAGGAGTGCCAATCATTGAACCCAGCCCGCCGGCAAGGACTCCCGCGGCTCCTCTCTCTAGGAACGTGATGTCTCTGTTCTGCTGCCTCGCCCTCGTCTTGAAAGAATCCTCAAATGTGTAAAACAGACCTAGTCGTGCGGTTCCGTAGACAATTTGACGGAGATAGCCCGCCGAAATTCCTTGGTACAAGTCCCAGACCCTACCCTGGGAAACGATTCCCCTGACAGTTTCGAAAGCACCAAGCTGTGAGCTGGTCCGGGCCCCTTGGCCAGCAAGTTGAAGGCGGACCTTGACCACGTCGATGGGGTGGATGCATGTAGTCGCGACGAGTCCTGAGACTCCACCAACTACGAATGGCTTCCAGTTGGTTGCAGGACGCTCAACGCTACTGTCATTCTGCGTGCGGTCCATGGCATAGTCAGTGGTGGAACGATACGTCCTGTTTGGGGCCAGGCCGAACAATAGAGTGATGGTAATATTCTTAAGCTAGGCATGTATAAAACACTCAATTAACCTATACTAAGTATTATATGTTTCCTGACCTGTTATACTGGTGCTTTTATTCCGTCTACTGTCCAGAAAGACAAGACTTCCTAGAATGAAGTTCTTGCATTGCTAGGAGTCTGGCTTTCTGTTAGTAGGTCCACATGGGGGTTTGTCTACGGTTACCTCTCCTCGGCTATGAACCGTGTGTCAGCCTGGAGCTTTTGATAGCCGAGGTGACTTTTAGGACGCGATCTCCAGATTCGACGTAGTGCTGCTGCATGGGCCAAGCGCTACGGAGTTCCTTTACGCCCGGACCCCGATGCCCTTCGCAGCCAGATCTGTAATTTCAGTGTACCACGGGGTTAGGTAGGTTGAAGATTGATCGAATCCATGAGATGAGTTGCGTTAAAACTTGTACACGAAACATTCGTACTGTTAGTCGTGCGTGGCTTTGCGGACCGAAAGGGGTGGAACATCGCTGCGTAAGGTGACTTCGGACGCCAATGTTAATGTACCTGTACCAGGGGGTAGCCTAAGTACGGAAATGCGACGTCTCCGAAGAGGAGGGAGGGGCGGAGTCGTAGTGTTCAATAACGCGGGGCCCCAGACTCCAACCCCAGGTCCTCGACTCGTTGGTATGCTGGCTGCTGTCATCACACGTGTGGCAGCATCTGTAATCAAAGCTCACATCGCTGCCTGGTCACCTTGTAATCTGTTCACTGCATTCATTGTGTTGAGATGTCGGGTCTGCCATCTTCTATTGTTGTTTAACTTTGTACTCGAACTCTCTCGCGTAATCTGTTCACTGAGCCACCAGAAGACAGGAGCGATCTGGTGGGCAGCGAGGCTCTTCAGGACCTGCTTGTCTTCCTCGGCTTACTTCCGCTTCAACCATGGTGTTGAGCATGGAGTCTGAAGGTCGACCGGAGGCCAGGCCCAACGGGAATACAATCAGCAGCAACAATAACACCGCCGCCGCCAACTCCAACGAAGGCTTGGGAGCGGGCCAGAAGCGCAACGGGGACGAGCTTCAGTCCGACTCTGCCGCCGTGAAGCGACGGGCATCTAGAGCTTGCCTCTCGTGTCGTACCCGTAAAGTTCGCTGCGACGTGACCAATCGCGGTGTGCCCTGCACAAACTGTCGTCTAGACACAGTCGAATGCGCCCTCACTGAGTCCTGTCGAGGCCGCGTACGCAAGGCGACCACAACTACACATGGAACAGAAGCGAGATCGACGTCCTCGAGATTAGAGCATCAGGATCTGGATCCGCATCCACGTGAAAATATACAGTCGCAAGTGCACACCCATACCAATCTCTACGCGCAAACGAATGGTTCTTACGCCGAGTCGGCTGCGGAGGAATTTCCAGTATCCTTGACATTTGAAGGTACATACATGACAGGCCTCAGAGATCTATTATATATCCTTCTTCCAATTACTGACATGTGCGCTCGTCACCCATCTTAGGCCTACGGGACGTTGCGGACCGCGAAGAAGACACACTTAACCGCCCAGACCATGACAATATTGAGGCATCCATCGCCAGCTCAGCCGTTGAGGCCCTTCGCACATCATCATCCGCGGGCCCCTCGCCAGCCGGCGGGAACCAAGGGCTGGCCCTGCCTCCGTACATTCGACCATTGCCGCCGCGGCTGAAGGCTGCTGATCTTTACTACCTCATGGCCAAGGACGCCCTCAGCATACCAGACGAAGAGCTTCAGCGGCAGCTGCTACGGCAGTATATCCAGCACGTCCACCCCTTCATGCCCATCCTAGACCTTGCAGACTTCTTGCTACCGATCGCCTGTCGCGACGCGTCGTCGGGCTCTCCAGTCAGCCTGCTTCTGTTCCAGGCGGTCATGTTTGCTGGCGTGGCATATATAGATTTTGAATATTGTGCCTCAAGGGGCTATGACCACCGTAAATCGATGCGCAAGCACTTCTTGGACAAAGTCCGAGTTCTCTACGATCTGGACACGGAACCTGACCGTACAGCGCGACTGCAGGCCCTGCTCCTCATGACATACTGGTACCAGAGGGCCGAGGATGAGAAGGACACATGGCACTGGACAGGCATCGCACTGTCGCAAATCTACATGCTGGGAATCCACCGCGACCCCAACCAGCTGGATGTCCCCCCGAAAACCATGAGGCGAAGGAAGAGGATATGGTGGGCGTGTTACGTGCGTGACCGTCTCATCGCACTGGGGATCCGGCGGCCTGCTCGAATATGCGCAAGCGATTTCGACGTTCCGGCATTGACGTTGCAGGATTGCGAGTTGGAGCCCCTGGATGCGACTGTTACCTCCTTCCTGGGCGACCTCCCGGCGGTAGACGGTACGACCCAGAGGGATCTTATGCGTTGTTTCATCGACCTCACGAGGCTGTGTGACCATATCGGCGACATTCTGTCCACCCAGTATACAACAGTGGGCAACAATACCTGCAGATTCAAGACGGAAGATCGGATGACCATGATGGTGGTGCCCCAGAGATCAGCCCAGCAGAGAGAAGACATGGCAAGCTGTGTTGCGAACCTGTATACGTGGCAGCAGAATATGCACTCCACCAGTCGATATCGACCCAGCCGACCACGGAGCGAGCCTTTTCAAGAACCGGCTGAGCTAGAGATTCATCCTGTAGTGCATCTGCATCAGGCTATGATATACATGATCTATCTCACCGCCACTGCCATCCTCCACCGGCCACGTGCACAGCATGAACAGTCTCGTGGTGACGGCATCAACAATGAAAACGGCATAAATCTATCGACGACGAGTCCGCGTCTCGGCCCAGGTACAGCCAACCGAGCCGGCACGAACATAAGCACTGGCCCATTGACCAGCCGCTCCGCCGACAAGATAGCCGACGCTGCTGCTGGAATCACAGAGATAGCATATGACTTACACTACGGCCGGCATGGCAACCAGCTGCGTTTTGCATCCACCTCAGCGATTCCAGCGCTGTTGTCGGCCATTCTCATCCACTTAAATGAAATCAGCTCGTCCAAGAAAGACCCCGTGAGGAGGTATGTGGCTATTGGTCGTTTCTACCAATGCTGGCAAGCGCTCCAGTATCTCCGGGACATGTACGCTTCGGCAGATCACGTTATATGGTTCTTGGAGGCTGTGATAGAGAAGACCAACGTCGAAATCCCCATGCTGAACCTCACAACGACACCGCATGCTTCTACAGCTGACTCCAGGCGGGTGCCCTCAAGCAAAACCACTGCCCATCCGGCGTCACACCGGCGGACTGACCCTCCTCCCAGCCAGACCGACACAGCCATCTCCGGGCCCAGCGACCAAGCCGGGCGCAACACCATGATTACGCCGGTTACACTGGAAAATGAGCCAACTGGCGGCTCACAATCTAACGGTGTCCATGATATGCGTGGGGACTGTTTCCCGAAAAGGCTGCCGGTATTCCAAGGTCCCTTCTCTCAACCACAGGCCAGCATGAACGTGGGCGACCACCCCATGGTGAATGACCCGCATGACGCGTGGACGATCTTCGATGACGAGGATGACCTCCTGCAAGCCCTGGTGCATTTCGATGCAGATCCGAATTTCTTCCCAGCCAGCGGATTTTGAATATCGAAAAAGGAATATGCGTCTACGTAGGCATGGGTTGGCTATCAATGTCACAGATACATATGAATTAAAGCCTCCTGTCAAGAAGCTGGAACTGCCGGAAAGGGGGCTGACAGCTCTATTTTCTAGGCATAAGTTGAATATCTATCCTAGCTCCTACAGGTGATCATGGTTTTATATGAGTAGTCTTCTTTATATACGTCAGGAAGTAATTCGGCTAGTGGCGATCCTGATTGCTTGTTGTTATACCTTCTACCCACTCCACCACGGCCTCGTGGTATTCCTTTGTTTTTTTGAAGTGGTTGTATACATAGAATGCGTGTGGCATCCCTGAGTACGATCTAAGGGTAACAGAAACACTGAATCTGTTAGAACAAGTGGCATGGAGCATCTCTCCATAAACATGAGACTTACCCGTTGTTTTTCAATGCTGCGGCATAAGCATAACCTTCATCCCTCAAAGGGTCCATCCCGGCGACTTGAACCACTTTTTGTACCAGATTAATCACCATACAAACTCTCCACTCAGGGCTTGCTCGTGTACTCACATGCTGGTGGCAGGCCTTCCAAGTTGTCAGACAGCAACGGGCTCGCTTGCGGGTCGTTTGCTCTTGGCGCTACGATGTAGTTATCCCAGAACAAGCGCATTCTTGCAGAGCTGACAATAGGCGCGTCGGCATTCTGTTGGTATGAACTTGTCGTTCCGAAACTGTATTTCGATGTAGGAAAATGGTCCGGGTGGCATGTCACGGGGATGTTGAGAATTTGCCCTATTATGGCCGTGATACCTTCGTCACGAGCCTTTCGCGCAACGACGGTTGCCTAATAAAACAGTTACTTACACGTCTTGACTTGTTCAAGAAGACGACTGGATTTCCACGAAGTGCCACATACCAAATTCGCTCCCGCGCTGCCGCCCCCAATGATGATTTTCTTGGCATCCCCTCCAAGAGAAGCAGAATGCCTAAGCAACTGAACAAGGAAGTTAGAGCTCTTTTCCCGCATGTTCAAGAACTCAAAATCTAAGGGGAATGCCGAACCCATTTGAAAACGTCGTAGCAGTCGTCGAGTCCATAAGGATAAGGGAACTCCGGCGCCCTTAAGGATGATGAGCATGCTGCTTCGTGAGTACAAGGAATATTTGCCTACCTTCTATAGTCCACACTAATCACCAGCACTTTATTCCGGGCCGCTACGAGTCTATTCTGAGTCTCTTCAGACTCAGTATTGCCCGTCATCCATCCTGCAGGGATCGAACATGTTAGCCTGACCTCAAAACGCACAAGAAGAGATAGTGTGGCATGGGGGCAATCTCATTGGAGAAAAATGTGAAATTTACCTCCTCCGTGAATGTTGTAGTATATTGGCGCAAACAAGCTTAATTTCTCATTACTTATACACTGATAAATGCGGACTCCGATTGATGTTCCATCTCGCACCGTCACATGAGACTCTGTGATCTGTACATCTCGCCCTGCAACGGGGGCATACGACGCAAGTGGGGGAGGTCGATATGGGATCTTGCGGAACTCTTCAATTGGTAGATCGGACAGCTTTGCGGCCGCCTCATCTGCCTTAGCATGCTCCTCGGCGACTTGTAGCCACTCTGAGTCTGGTGTGGACAGATGGGAAAAGCGCCCGTCAGGCATGGCGGATATAAGACTCCGTGTTGTTTTGTTCATTTATGTTCAAGTGTGTGAGAGAGAACTGGTGTAAATAACGTCTGTCGGCATTTTCAAACACTTGCATGACTGCCTCTCACAATACAGGTAAAATATGAGAGTAACGAGACATTGACATGCCGAAATAAGTGCCAATATGTGGAGGCCCGGACCTCCGAGAAAACCTCGGCAACAGCCACGAAGAGTAGCCGCCTAGTGATATCAAATTCCCGGTTACATGACAGTGATCACGCGTCTAGAATGTGGTATGGTCGGAGAAAGCCATGTGAGCCGTAATTGCCACGAGTCACACCAGTGCCGAGACAGTATTATTGCCTAAACTAGGTCCGGATGCGATTTGCCAATATGCCATTTGTGATGTATTTGTACACCAGCACCTCTTCTCTCAGGGATTTTGTGTCATATTGTCGCAACCTCAATCCCTTCACTTAAGAGAAATTAAACTGTTAATTATGGCTGTTGCAAAATACGACGGTGCCATCTGGGACCTTTCTAAAGTGACGAGCTTTGAGAGCCTGGTTCACAAGTCAGCGATCATCACAGGAAGTCAGTCTAGGCCCCGCACAGTTGCCCCTTACCAGGAACATGCCATCAATCCTAACAATCTGTTCAGGCGCAAGCGGACTAGGTAAGGCATACGCCGAGGCCTTTGTTAAAGCTGGGTAGGTTGCGTCATTCGCCTCACAAAGTTGATGTCTTAGATATGGCCCGCTGATGAGTTTATCATAGATCATTCGTCACCGTTGCCGACTATGACGAGGAAACTGGCAAACAAACCGCTGCCCAGCTAGGAAGGTATAGGCCTAACTTGTTCAATTGGACTAGGGGAATAGGCTACTAATGAGGAGATGCAATACAGCAACGCTCAATTTGTGAAATGTGATGTACGGAGTTGGGATGATCAAGTCGCCGTCTTTGAAGCTGCAGTCACCAACTCACCGGATAAGAGCTGCGATATCGTCATTTCAAATGCAGGCATCATAGTACCGGACGATATGTTCAAGTTCGATGGTAAGCCTACTCATCCCTTATTTCTCTACAGGCCGGTCTGACATAAAGAGTAGACCCATCCCAGCCACCAATTAAGCCAGATTTGAGAACTCTTGAAGTCAACCTTCTCGGCACAGCTTACACCATCAAGCTGGCCATTCACTATTTCAGACGTCAATCTTTGGACCGCACACGAGATCGTTGCTTGATTCTGAAATCGAGCCTTTCTGGCTACGTTGACCAGCCAGGAGCCCCCCAGTATAACGCTTCTAAATGGGGGGTCCGAGGATTCTTAAGAAGCTACAGAAGAGACTTGCACAACGAGAACATCCGAGTCAACCTCGTTGCCCCATGGTGAGTTTCCTCGTCTAGTTAGGCGGAATCTGACCTAATAAGGGGCTAACTAAATGATGCACGTAGGTACGTCCGCACCCCCATTCTCTCCGACGCCACCGTCGAGTTCTTGCAGTCAAAAGGTGTCAACTTTGCGACCATGGATGACGCCGCTTCAACCATGCTGAGGATTGCCGCAATGAAAGAAGTCAATGGTGGGTAACTCTTTTTGACCAAATCGCTTTGAAGAAGTCACAATCAAACTAAGATCTTACTTTGTAGGCAGATCCTTTGGCATTGTTCCCAAAGAAATGGCAAGTTTGGGATGTTTGGACTTGGAGCATGATGACTACCAAGAAGGCGACTTTATGAAGGGGTGGCAGGATACAGTGTTAGAGACTGCCCAATCAGTAGTTGACCTTGCTTGAGATCACGCATGTCGAGTATCAGACTATGAACTAGGCTTTACGTGGACGGAAATTTAGATATTGTGATAATATGAGCCTGTAGCTCCATCCCTCGAAATTCTTACCACGAGTGTTTTGCATCGCAATATACGCAGTCCCATAGCCACCTACTTCTTCAAACTTTGGGTATTCTTTTAGAACGCACAAAGATATCTGTTCTGTGGAACGTATTGCCCTGCTAACGAGGAAAGGTTGGAAAAACTAATCATCGAGGTTGTTATATATTGCTTGTGGTGGGGGGGCATTCTTCCTCTGTTCACGATCTAGGCTGTCTTTGAATAATAGACCAGAACTCATCCCCGGCTGCTTCAGTGACTTTATCTATGGCTTCAAGCTACTTGCGTTTAATTTGCACATTGATATTCATCTTAATTTGTTGAGAAGCCTCCATCAATGACAAGTCCTACGCCATTGACGAAGCTACTCATCGATGAAGCAAGGAAGGTGATGCTATCAGCTACCTCATCCATTGTTGCCAGTCTTTTCAGTGGCGTTCTTTCGATATCCACCTTCAGCGGAATCCCAGCCGATGTATCCATCAGGCTTCTCAGAAGAGGTGTATCCACGTAACCGGGACAGACGGCGTTGATGCGGATGCCGGAAGATCCGTACGAGTTCGCATCGCCCTTAGTCAGGCCCATAACTCCTATCAGACGAATTTAACAGGTTTGACTCTCCAAGCATAAGGGTAAATATATTCATACCGTGTTTTGAAGCAACATAAGCTGTGTTATGCATGCGTCCATTTGGAGAAACAAGGCCATACATTGAGGAAACGTTGATAATGTTGCCGCGGCCGACTCGTGGGCCAAGGTCTCTGCCACGAAATTAGCCCCGGGCCGAAATAGCCATAATCACCGCCTTACTCCTGGTTCAAAATCACTTTTAGCTGTTCCTTTTGACACTTGCGCACAGCATTGAGGTTGACATCAACCACATTCAGCCACTCTTCTTCGTCCACCATATGTGTTTGCTTCCCGCTACCACCGATGCCCGCATTGTTTACGGCGATGTCTAAGCGGCCAAACTCGGCAACCGTATCACCGATAGCCTTTTCAACTTCCACCCCCACGCGTACGTCAAAAGTCATCTCAAGGACTTCTACATGGGGATGTTTGGCCTTGAGCGCGTTGACGGACTTGTGGAGTAGCTCGCCGTTGATATCTGTGAGGGCGAGTTTGGTGGCTCCGTGCTCAGCAAACCTCAACGCCGTAGCTTCTCCTATGCCTGTACACAATAGTGAGCCGTTTGAGGTGTGTGGGTAGAGTGAGACATGTAATCATACCTGAAGCGGCGCCGGTGATAAAGGCAGACCTACCCTGTAAGAGGCTCATTCTTGTAAGCAACGGCGGCGAGTGTAAACTAAGTTGGGAGATTCGTTCTCTGAGGGTTACAACTGTTTGACTATTTATGGCACATTTCTTTTATACCCGAGGCTATGTTCTTACATTTCTATTATCCGGGAGCACCGAGGGAAGCACAGATATGTGCCCATTAAATTTCCCCAGCTGAGTGCGCGAATAGACTCTGCAACAAATCGCCAACATTACTCGGCGATGATTGGTACATTTCCCATTTTAATCAAAGACAACGCGCAGTGATCAGAGGGATTTATTGTTTAATCTGTAGTAGCAGAGAATTAATTACAGGCAGGCTAAATACGTATTCTTCTACCAAATTTCTTTGCTTTATACATCATGAATTGGAAAACCTTGAGAATTATTGCATTTTAGCTATGTAGATGTGTTTAAAGTGTAGGGGGAAAAACAGTAACAGAAGAGACTAGACTTAATATCATAATATAATAAAAGATTCAAGCCATACATTTAGTAGCATTAAAGGTTATTCTAAATGGTCTGTATTCACATACTATCTGAAGCCTATGCCTACACCGATATGCTCAGGGGTTCGACTCGGGTAGATTTGAAGGCTCATGGTGAAGGTGTTGGAACCCAGGCTCCCACAAAAAGCTGGCCCGCTCAGAAGCCTCGCCATTGAGGAATTCGGGTTCCGGGGTGATGATTATCTTCTCGACGGAGCATTCCAAGGCTTTTCCATAGAGCGTTTCGTCATCCAGGAATCGATTTAGCGCCTTTACAATGGTACCAATAGGAGTCATGCTGTTTGATTGTTCTCAGCTATTTTGACTTTGGTCACTTCAAGCGACTTGAGACTTACTTTTCTTGTCGGGCAGCAGTAATCATGGCAGCAGGGGCGAGGGGTGTGGCGACAAAGCCTGGACGAATACAATTGATGCGAATGTTGTCCTTCTTATGAGAGGTTAGTTCATACGGATGCAAAGAAGATTTTCTTTCGTTGACGATTGAAGCATCGTACCAGTTTAAGAACTCTTCCTGCTGCTCGGACAAAGTTGTGAACCTGGGCTTTCTATTAGATCGTAATTCATTCTGCGATTAAATGGGATATCAACGAACAGCAGCTTTGCTGCCACTATACTCTGGGTAGCTCTGGTGAGGATAGAGGCTCGACGCACTGGCAGTGATGACAATGTTTCCACCAGGAATCTTATTCTTTCTCATGAAGTGGATGGCCAGTTGAGAGCTGTAGTAGACGCCTTTGACGTTTACGTCGGTGCAGGATAGATCTGGCTCCGGTGGCACTCTGAGTCTTGCGTGTCAATGATAGAATCTTTATAAATGCAGAAGTGGTTAGAATAGAAAACTCACGTGTCTGAAGTACGATAATCAAACACATAGAGGGAACTAGAGTTCTGTTAGGCCTTTCAACGGTGTACTAGGGATGAGTCTAGTTGGGGATACTCGCCTGCGATCGAGAATCCCAGCATTGGGGCATACTAGGTCTAGTCTACCATGTGCTTTCCAGACATGTTGAAAGCCGCGTGACTGGTCCTCATAGCTCACAACATTGCATTTGTGGAATGTGGCCAAGCCTCCGAGATCCTTGATGAGCTCCTCGTTATTGTTGAGGTCAAACAAAGCGACCTGCCATCCTTGACCGACAAGGTCTCTGGCGAAGGCCTCTCCCATTCCGGACTAGTCAATGGTTGTTAGAATACAATTTGAAGATATCAGAGAGGTCTACGTACGCAACCACCAGTGATTATGGCAACAGGCTTAGAAGACATTGAGAAAATGGTGAGATGTAGCTGATGTGACTTCTTGAAAATCTAGATTGAAAATAAATTCTTCTGCAGACTATGGGTATACACGAGACTTGTCCAAACGCAAATTTAGTAGGTAGACTGGTGCAGCATTATTCTTATTCTAATTGCAGCCCCATCTGTCCAAGACTTCAAATCCGGCGGAACTGACTCGTAACTATTCAGGTGAAAACCCCGAGGTAATGGACGGAGTACTGGGGCCGAATTAGGGTAGAGGATATGCCTTGAGCCACTGAGCGCAGGAGGTTCATCCTGTAGCCGAAGCCACCCGTGACTAAGACTCCGGGGCCAAACTCGGAGAAAGGTCCCTTGGGGTGAATGTGTGGGTATGACCTCAAGCCTGATAGCCGGACCGGCAAGTACTTGGATGCTACCGCCTAGCTGAGCTGGCTATCGAAAGGTCTGGGGCTTTACCAGTAGCCGGTATGGGTGGGTGGGAGAAACATGTAGTGGAAGAATGATCCCGCTCTCCACTGGTACTAGTATTGAGACCTAAAACGATGCTTTTTGATTTTATCCTCTCAGAACATGAAATGATGAGTTGTGCAAGTAAGTTATTTAGCAAATGCTAGCAAGACTTCTTCACTACCAATCGCATAATATGCCAAGATAGGATCTCATACTATTTACGACCATTCTAAATAACATTCTAGTATCTAAATTCAGAAATGACGTTGAATACGGCGTTGAACTCGTATTCTCGAAAGCTGACTGGCGCAAAAAGTCCTGACATTGCATCTGAAGTCAAATCTAGATGTTGATAGCCGAGGTCACCTCGGCCGGCTATTGAAACCCTGTTGCCAAGCATAGTTAAGTGCTGGGACACCCGGAAAAGATGCGGAGCAAAGCCACTACATCGGTGCGTATTTTGTACTAATCAGTGAGGACATGATAATGTATGTAAGCGTGTATGGTAGGAATAAGCTAGTGTAAGATTGCGATGGCATGAATTTAAAGGGGATTTGGGTTAGATTTAAGCATCAGTATCACTATAGTTGATTATAATATCATCAAAAGCCTCGCTAAACCAATTTGCATCAACTGAGGATCCCAGCGTTTCCCAACCGGAGGTATTAATCGCTGGGTGGGGGGGCGTGCGCAGTGATTTGGGGAAATCAGCTTCGGACGGACAATGTCCGTGAGCAAGAGAGTATTCCACCGTCAAGACGATCCGTAAATAGGTCTGGGGATCTTCAAGTATGAAGTCTTTCCAAGTAATTATGCCTCTATCTCGAGATTGAGTTGGGCTATTGAGGCCAGTCTGTGGAGGCCCCTGAACAAAGTCCTTTCGTTGTGGTAAGGATTCTTTGGTCTTAACGTGTTCCACAATATGTTTGATGCATTTGACTGTGCTTTCCGCATTCTCATAGAGGTCATTAAAACCACCCATCACGTCAAGATGGGCCTTCAAGTCTTTTTGTAAACCCTGTGCCCTGTCATCAGAGTTGAGCATCCGGGCCTGCAATAGATCCCACACGAATGGCGTCGCTGCGAAGCTGATGCTAAAGAAGATGGTTAGTAGCCCGCCTATTCAAATCAACTCTTAATCTTAAAAATACTTACAAGGTTATTGGCAGATACTTGACCAGACCAGAGTTATCCAACTCCATCAGGGTTTCAGTGATGCTACGAAAACAGCGGCTTAGATTCTTCTGTGCCTCGAGCCTAGTTCGATCATGATTTGGTGAGATCGCATCATCAGAGGAGACTGTGCCTAGTAAGATATAGTTATATAACAATGCCTTTGCCACACTATTTCTAGTTTACCTTGTCAGTCTGCTTTTTGGTAGTGCTGGCCACAGATTTGAGGAGTACTTACTAGTAGTAGGTATAGACTACATTAGAAAACAGAATGATGGAATCATGTGCGTCCGTAGAGATTGATGCGGTGCGGAATTCCACATAAGTATTCTGGTACCAGTTATCCAGTTTTGATAGCAGAGCTTTGATCTGATCTGGCCGCAGCTGGCTCTTCTTGCGACCCGTAGCTGAATGAGGCTGCAAAGGTATGTCGTTAAGAATCATCCCCAGATGACAGAGCACTATCGCCACCTGAACCAAAACCTTTTTCACTGGCGCTTCATAAACCCTTGAAGATCCGACCTCGTGAGCAAAATCGCCAAACACGAACCCCCCATGGCTGAAGTCAAACGCTTCAGGACTTATCAATGGTGCTTGGCGAAGGGCCAAAGCCAGGACTTTATCCCGAAGGACGCAACACCACCACAGGCGCTTGAGATATATACGCTCTGACTGGTCCGGTTTCTCATTGTAGCAGTAAGCTTCAATATTCTTGGCATAATGTATGGAAACGCTAAGCCAGAATGTGGCACTTCTATCATTGAACTCCAATGTGCGGTACGTTAGCATCAAGGCTCCTTGTGATCGGGCTTGATCATCTAGGTCTGTTTGGAGGTCAAACAAAGTCTATAGAAGACAAGTTATTCTTCAATGTCTTACTAAGCTGGAAGATGAAAAGGAATGCATACCTTGGCCCTTGAATAAAACTCAGCCCGAGCCTCTTTGACAGTTCGAAAGCCGAGACTGTTGAGTGACTCTAATGACACATACTACAAACATGGTTAATTTGCTTTTCTTATTACACGTTTTCCAGATTTGCATAGATTGCACTTACAGGGCAGGATACAAAGAGCATCGCTTGTAGGATGAAGAGTGGAATCGCCCGGGCCAAGGGGTCCGGTGAATCGTGCCCGTCGTACGCTTCCCAAAAAGCTTGCTCAACCAGTAGTGGAACGAGGGGATGGAAATACAAGAAATAACGTTGTACTATCTCTTCCAAGATCGGCGGGGCAGGAAGATGCAGACATCCCCTCTTTTCCAAGAATTGGGCGGCGTCGGGATCCATCTTCATGAAAATGGGGAGTTTGACGAAACGGTAGAAAGACGCCAAAAGAAACCCAGTTGAAGAGTTGGATGAGGCAGCGTTCGCGTCTCTGCATTCCCCTTCAAATCCGGACAATTCCTGCCGCAGATCATATATAGCGTTGTTAGAACCCTCTGGAGCTGAATCAGGCTCATTTTCCATAAGAATGGCTTCTCTTCTTGGCGATGACCTTGACAGGCATGCCTTGGCCGAACGCGCATCCAGGCTATGAGATGTAGTGGTGATGTCTATGCCCATCGTCGCTCTAGATTGGTCGGCAGGCGTTACTAAATCTTTGGTAAGATCTTGGATGTAATGGGAGGGCGACATGATTTCTGGAGAGAGGTCGCGGGCTCCTTCGCAGTCTCCAGCTTCGGTGGATTTCTGTCTCTCTAAGCTTTGCATTGCGACCCTAATGGCGTTGTTAGTTGTTCCGCCTATTGTCCTGAGTTAATGGTATTTCTTAGCTAGTCGCTCACCACTTGCGAATCCTCGGTTTTACTACACACTCTTGCGAGTCTTGTTTGCAGTTTAGGCACGGCACACCACTGAAACATACATCACACCGAACCTTTCGCGCTCTACAGGCTAAACAGGCTTGTCTCGCTCTTGGTCTCCGTTTAAATTTCCTATTGTCGCAGATAGACGAGCGATCATGACTCCCCTTGCTCGCCACTGTGGATTGTTCTGTGGCTGAGAGATGGCGAGCATGATCCGGCGCAGACACCTCCACTGCGTCTGAAGTTTCAGACATTTTGTCTCGTAGGTAGGTAATTTCGGATAGGCCAATGAGTTTATGAAGAAAGGTTCTTGGGAGCCCAACTTGGACAGCTCTATGTCATATATTATAGGGCAGATGGATGATGAAGAGGTTCAGCATGTCTGAACAGTTGATCCTTAAGAGCACATATACGTATTGGTGTGTCTGTGAAGCTTGGACAGGCCAGTCCCCGCACCGGAAAGTTGGAGACGTATCGCGAGGTAGCCCACTCCGAGTCAACCTTTTCTAATGCATGTCCGGGCCAGACTGGCCGTCTCCGTCTTGGTTTGCCGAGGTTACTCATGCCCCATAACTACAACTCATGCAGTCTTAGGACTGTACCAGCACCTACTGCTACGAAAATGCCCCAATGTTCATGACATGTCTCTACCTCTGGGATACGTAATATCACGTGCAAAAGGTAGGTCGGCCGCTTTCAGTGCAATTACATACAAAACTAATGTGTAGGAAACCAGGTTACCTCAAACAGTTGGACAAATCTCGCAAGCTGCAAGCCTACTGAGCAGACGCTCCATCTTCAGGTGTGTCTGCCACCTTGTACACAAGCTTCTCTCCGAAAACCTTGCCTGCCTCTAATTCTGCCAAGCCCTGGATTACACCCTTCAGTCCATTCTTCCCAACATAATTTGGGTGTGGATGAAGGCGGCCCTATATATCTCAATATTAGCAACAATGGATAGTAAATAAAAGCACAGAATCATGGATTGAGCACTGTGAGCGAGCGGGTTATCACAAACCAATGCGACCATCTGTTCAACAAGGTTATAGAAAGATTTTCCGAATTCGTAGTCGTCCTTACTGCCAGGCATGAATTGAGACCCAAATTGAAAGTCCCGGCCGAAAGTGGTATGGAACACAGTCGCGATAGACTCGACATCCTTCCTAGGGCTCTTAACTGGTAGCAGAGTGGCATACACGGCCCTGGCAGACGGCGAGCTAGTGAGAGCCTCGGCGCAAATGCGAGCCGAGTCGTCGATGCTGATAGTATCCCACGCGAGTCGTAGCTTGTTGTTAGTGAATTCGCGAATCTTGATTCCGGCATTGGGGTCCTTGTAGTCGACGGCGAAGTCTGCACCCAGGGTTCTGGCATGGTCGATCTGTGAAGCTGCACAGACAGTGACAACGATGTAGCCGGCCCTAAATGACATGATAAAGATTAGAAAAAATTGGTAGAGCAAAAAGGTTTACGCCTGTGAGATGCAGGTGTGGGCAAGTACAAGCAGAACGGCATGGCATCTTACGCCTTCGCAAACTGAATCCCCAATGTCCCTGTCGCAGTGCCACCGCCATAAATCAAAACAGGCTCATCAAGTTTGACAGTGCCAGCTGATCCCAAGTTGGGCCACTCCAGCTTCAGGCCTTTCTGGAACAGACCCTGACCAACAGTGCCAGTGCCCAAACCCAGAGTCGCAGCCTGTTCAAAGCTAAGGGAATCCGGCATACGCATCTGCAAATCGCCAATGACAGAAGCTACCTCCGCAAAGACGCCGTCGTCCAGGTTCACAAGATTGGCGCCATGAGCACAGCCAAATACCCTGTCACCTGGCTTCCATTTCTTTGTCACGCCGGCGCCGACAGCCTCAACGATCCCCGCGTAGTCACAGCCCACGATGCACCCGTCTTTCGCTCTCCTGCCACGAATGTGTCTCCAGTCCGTTGGATTCAGCGCGACGGCTACCGGCCGAACGAGCAGGCTGTCGTCGAGAAGTCTAGGTACCTGGCGGACGGGGTCCAAACGGGCTCTATCGCCGTCTATCACGACGGCTTTCATGGTCTGCATGCTGTATGACCGTGTGAACCGTGTATGCCGGAGAGCGGCATGTTTGAAAGGGCTAGAAAGAAACATAGCAGTCTTTCAAGAATAGAAGCTGTGGTTTCCTATTGGTAAATGGCAACGCGCCAGAGCTGAACCAGATGGTGAAAATGAATGTGGCAAAGATCAAATTGCCAACGCCGATAGACAATCTATATATGAAGAGTCAGATCCGGTATACTAGATGACACTATAATTCAATATTGCAAATATAGATATAACGGCATACAGAGCTATGGCTCAACTTTGAATAGTACGTTATTCATCTACCAATAGGCTTCAAGAATTGAATGACTGGCTCGTTGGACCCTTGCGACGGTAATTGGATGCTTGCGGTTCGCACTGGTTGGGGCAGCTTCGGCCCTCGGCAACTAAACGACCCCTTCGTTTTTAGTACCAAGAAAAGGGGAGGCTGAGAGCGGCTATTTCGGATACACGGAATAAAGTAACTCCAGTCATTATTCAGTACAAGCTGTGATGACTCTGAGACCAATGATAAACAGTGTTATTACAATCCAATGTTCGCTTTCTCTAAGGCGAGTGGATATCTAGGCTTCAAATTGGAGAAGACCAAAGATTTCGGTTCCAAATTCTCCTAACGGAAGAACATCTGGCACATTGTTTGGATCAAAATCCCAGTCCCTCCTCACGTGTGACTCGTCTGTAGAAATTCTGTCCTGTGGAATGGGCGACGTAGGTCCGTCGTTTAAAGGGGGGCGTAAAGAAGGCACTTGGCGGTAACAAGCGCATGTTCCATCGTCGGATGAGGAATGGAGAATGTTGTGCAGAGGACTGGATATGTCCACCATTCGGCTCAGAGACACAAGCATCCGCCGAACTACAGGAAAATGTGCTCGCAAAGCTTCCATGCTCTTGATAAGATGATTGAACCATATCGTGTCTTCAGGTCTACTATGTAGTGCGTTTGCGAATTCGATCATGACAGTCGCAGCCACAACGCAGTTGTCGAGCATGACCGTGGGTATTCTTTCAACCCCAAAAGCTTCTTTGTAAGTCACCGTCAGGCGTGCTATCCGGATGGCGTATTGGTAAACTGTAGGGTCAAAGTTGTTCTGAGGTGGCAAGAGCGGCGCTTCGCCTATGAGTAGAGAATGCGGCCGCTTCCTTGTATTTGATAGCCTTGCCATGGATTGTCGTAACAGTATCTGGGTTTTGCAGTATTGGCTGTGCAGCCCATATCCAGCCAGATCCATAGCCGTGACACAGTCTTTGTTGTACCGTAAGTCCGGGGCTAGGCCATCGTACCAATTCTCCAGATCCTGAAAGGCCTCACGCAGGAGGGTCGTCCTCTCATCGGGACTAGGAATAGACTTCTCATTTAATGCACGGGATACCTTGCCCATCGGCGTGCAAAGTCCTACCCATGCATTAAGCCATGCCGAGTCGGATTTCAGATTTCGCTTGCGTCGAATCATGATCGAGTGCACGACATAGCTCGGTATGCTGTTCGGTCGGCCAAGATACATGGCAAAGATATTTTCATATACAAGACAACCTGATGCCAGAGTGTATGCGAGGCAGGCTTCTTCGGATGGATCTTGATCCTGAGTATCGCACATTAACTCATGGAGTCCAAGGTCGGTCAACATTCGACAAGCGATGCCTATAACATCCAGCATGTTAGTCAATGGATTTCAGAGGCGACTGGATCAACACTTGCCGCAATACATCCATCCCAGTGAGTTTTTGCCTGTTGTAGACTCGTACTCGCTGAGAAGAAGGAACCCTTGTAAATTTGCAGGCGAGGGTTCGTATAAGGCATTAGAAACACCTTCCTTGGCTAACTCGTAGTAATTCACCCCAAGCCTGCGCACGGATTCAGAAGTGCTGAGTCGCGAGCTGCAGGCCAGTATGGTATTCTCCAAAAACTTAGAATACCATCTGGATTCAATGCCGTCTTCTCCCCGATGCCGTGAAAACAAGCCTTCGTCAACGAGCTCCACCAGTAAAATCTGGTATTTGAAAAATTCTCGCAGGAGGCTGTCTCGTAAATGGCGCGAGCTTGGGTCTAGGTCGATATATCCAGCATCAGTCTTGACTCCATTGGCTAAAGCCAGAAGAGATTCGTCGTTGGGGAACGAAACATGGGGATGAGATGAAGCGCCGTAGAAACTAGAACTACTACTACGACGACATCTAGGAGAGTCTTCCTTTTGCTGGGCTGGCGACGATGTCACTTGGTGAATTTCAACGTGGCTCGGCGATTGCACAAAGTGCGAGGGGGGATCGATGCTTTGAGGAGACGCAATGATGGGGATAGTGGCTGTCGGTAGGCTCGTGGTAATAAGTGGCTCGCTCGAGTATGCGTAAGCGTAACTGTTGAACATCGGAGCTGAAACTAAACTTGACATACCTAGGGTTTTCTGATGGGATAGATATGAGACTATCGGCAGACGTAGTAGTTACATTGTTGTTCGGTTCAGGCCGGGCAGAGGATTGATTGCTTGTTCCTTGGTTGAGTGCCTCTAATGTTTCTATTCGTCGTTGAAGCTTGTCCACGAATTTATGACTGACGGATCTGGACAGGATATTAGGCACAGATGGCACCAATGGGGTTGAGATGCAGCAGCTAACCTTCGACCATCGGACATTGGGTCAAAGAAGCAGTTCTGGCGCGATCGTCGACACGGGCTGCAACCGTCGCCTGGCGTCACATATTGCGCGTCGCACTAAGCAGAGTTTTGAGATGCATGGCCAGAGAGTACGAACAGTACATTTACTCACCTTCACCTTGCGCAGGCGGCAATTCTGGCACGCAACCGCAGCACGTTGAGGCATCCCTGATGTCGCCGGCCCAGCCGAGGTCTTCATCATCTAGGTAGCCCGAGACGGTGTGTCTGTCGGCTCGTGCGTTCGTACACGATTGGGGCGCTCATAGGTTTCGTGTATATGCTCTCACACTGGCACTAGTAGACGGTCGGCGGTAGTAGATTTATCACAGTAGGTCGGTTGCGATCATCACAGAGCAAGGAGGCATGGGCTTCCCACGGCTCTGGAGATCGCGATCAGGGACAGAATGCGGGGTACGATTTCCCCAGCGCAAGAAGTGGAGTGTGGGCCTCACGGGTTTACTGGATTGTGACTTTTAGGCGCTGGGCTAAATAAATACTGAATTTTCTAGCCTATAATGGTATAATCAATAGTAATATAATATAAGATATTATAAGCCCTAAGTACTACATGTCTCTTTAACTTTATTCTACATTTTAAAGATTGTATTTATTTTCTTATATCTATATCTAATAGAAACAAAACCTTTTAGCTTTTAGCCCCTAGCCGTGCTATCAGCCGACCTTTTTCAATTGCAATAGCTCGTAGTACTAAATGCTGCTACTGTTACGAGTTATTAATACTCAGGAAAAGCAAGGTCGCTAATAGGGTAGCTCTTATTATATTGCTATTTGGAAAGACTATCGTTAGATCCACTACCGTGCCTGTCAACGGGCTTCGTAAGTTTGCATAACCTTCCGTAGCTTTCACATTAATGGCTTGTAGCATCCTAGAATAGAGGAGTCCTCCTTCAAGTCTCGAGTGTTAACCCTCCCAATGTGGACGGCAACGCGCGAGATCCCAGCCGTTTGAAACGCCACAGCCACCATCTCGTTATAGAAATAGAATTCCACTTTACAGCCGAGCTTTCTTGTGTGTACTCGGCCCAGGAGCTTCACTATTATCGTCCTCTGTATGCACCCTTTTCTTCTGTCCCGTGGGATCACAGCTTAAACCCGCTGCTGTCGGGCAATCCTTCGTTTCTTCTCTTCCTTCTTCGTCTGCCGCCTTCTCTTCTCTCCGTTCTCCATCTGTCCTCTCACCCTCTTCGTCGAAAGAATCGTAAAGTTGACGAGTAAACCTTGTGTCAAACTCAACCTCGTGGCATATGCGATAATGCCGTACCGTTTCCTCAGGGGAGCTCATGGGATATCCTGGGAACGGACCGCAGTTCCCCAGAACGCAAGAAAAGAATGGCGAGAAAGAATCGCCTTTCTGACGTGTTTCGGGGCGGTATTTGCGGTAGGCTTCCCTAAATAGCTCGTCGGCAGTCTGTTGCAGCTTAGATTGGGCATCGGTAGTCAAGTGCTGTGTCCAGGCAGGAAGTCCCACTTGGAGCACACGACCATCCCATGGGACGCTTTGATCTAGCACGGAATGCATGGCCTCTACGTCGTTCACATAGCTCCTCTTACAGAACTCGTGCCAGGGCTTGAGGTGGCGGATCACGAAGTCGCGGTGCACCGTGACTCCCCATTCGTGAATTTGGTCGACGATGGACAAAAGTTCCCAGGCTTTCCTTTCAGTTGAGATGCGACCGCTCCAGATTCTCTGAAAGAGCTATGAATAGCAGTCATTATTTCCTGTCGATGCAGTTTCCAAGGGGGGATGACTGAGGGGGTGTGCCTTACATATACGTTTTGGCTCATGCCTGCTCGTTTGGCGTATTCGCGGACCAGACGGGGTCGCCGGTATCCCACCAGGACATGCCAATGTGCCCCAAACGATGTCAATGCGAAAACTTGAGAGCTGCGACTCTCGGTGGTCTGATAGGCCCCATCTCTTTTGCCTTCCGTCCCAGGATGCCGAACTAATGCGTCGAGAAGGTCCAGGTAGGCAACGGCTGCCGAGCAAGCTTGGCGCCGCGCCTCGCGAGGATCGCCGCCCCAGCCCTTAGCCTCGTAGATGGCAAAGGGGAATACGAGGCTACTATCACCCCATCGAGGATCAGACAGGAGGCCACAGTTACGATGAAGGGCGAGAGCCTGCAGACGTTTGGCATCGAGGTCGTACGAAGCGATAGCGTTCTGGTATTGCTTAGGCTGGAAGGTAGCGAGCCCAAAGGTTGCATCGGGAATGCGTGTGATGAATTTGGATTGGTCCATGCTGAGGCAGGAGACGGGATGGGCAGCACTCCTCACCGTGTAGTACTCATGCTTATCACTAAGATACACCTAGTTTAGTTGGAATGGTCAAGATAAGGCTAGATGAGAACAGTGGGAAGACTCACGCAGAAATGGCAGGATCATTCCTCATTCGACCAAACACGTCATTCCATGCATCAGCCTCCCATGCATATTCACTCTTTCGCCATTGTCCGTTATCCAGAGCATGCCTCAGGAACGTTTTGGCTCGCATCCGTCGGGGCTCTTCCGATCGATCGTCCCAGTCGACGCGGTTGAGCGTCGGAACCCATAAGCTATGATCTCCCGTAACCCACTCTGGCAAATAATAATGGCGGTAGTAGACACCCCGGGCATTCCAAGACCAGTCGTGGTGATAACGGTCCCGCATACCAGGAGGGACGGCCATTCCAGGCTGCAGATAGATTGGCGCATTGGCATACCATCGTTCAACCATCAGATCCACGAGCTCTTCATCAACTCCATCCGTGTTGGTCATATCGACGGCTTGGGGAAGGTTCATGTTCCACAATATTCTCCGGAAGCTCTTTCTTCTAGCTGCTATCGGCTGACTCAAGAGTTTATTGAGGCGCTCCTTATGGCGTCTTCGGTTCTCCTCGATGGTGATATCGTCCCGCATGCCCTCGCTTCCGGAGATCCTGTCTTCATTGATCTCATCTGGATGACGAATCCACGGGCCGTCTGGAAAAGTCATCGGTTGATGTATAGATGGAGTGTCACCAGTTACACTGTCGGGCGTATCTGGAACTTCAGGGGCCGTGTCGGTAATCTCGCCTCGGGATTGCTCTAGTGAGCCGATTTGGGTCTCTTGCTCCGTGCCCTTTCCGACATCATCAGGCCGGAGGCGAAGGATGGGAGCACCCCTATTTTGACCATTTCTTCGTGCCGTCGAACTAGCTTGTGCGTTTGCATCTTCGACTTTCGTAGGCAGAAATAGCCGCCTCCCGGAAGCGTCGTACAAATTGCCCATTGCGCCAATGAAATATTTAGGCTTCGTCATCGTTTTTCGTAAGTATCGAAGAGCAGACTGCTAGGGCCAAATGTGAATTAGGGGGTTGTTTCTGTCGCAGACTTGGAGTACCCCTTATCTATCTTCATCCTTGCGAGGTTATGTGCGTCATTTTATAAGGTGGGTTGGTACCCCCAGGTGTATTTCGATGCTTGGTAGTAGTGGGCTGTTGGTTCGGGTTATTGAGGCTGTGCAGGGATGGCCATATAAAAATATATATCCGGACCTTTTGAACACTGCGCCACAGCACTGCGGACAGAATGTAACCCTGCTCATTTATTACAGCTATGAGTTGGCAGGCCACAAGGGCCGTTAGCAAAGGAGAATAAGTTTGGTGTGTAGGATGCCCTCGGGCCACCGGGCTCAGGCGCAATTTGGCTGGGGCTAGTAGGCAAATGCATATTGTCACGGGTTATTTGGGTGACGCGAGTTGGCTTGAGCTAAAGCTAAATGCACCACGGACTCAGCTCAGGCAGTCTGGCCATGTAGCATTGGTATCGTTCAGCTTGAGCGAGATGCGCCGTGCGCTAGGCACCGACCCAAGGTCATGTCATACAGAGGGAACAATCCGTTTCTGGCATTACAGCGTGAGATTCCCTAACCACTGCCCTGATCCATCTCTAGACGTTAGGGCCCTGGGCAGTTTCTTGTCGGGAAGCAGGAAGAAATCACATACAAGCAGGATGGAGGGGATGGGAATCGTTGCGCAGCCTCCGGAGCCAAGAGCTCTCTGCAAGGAGGGTACATTGGGATACCTCAAACCACCATAAATATACCATGGGCGCTAATGTACCAATGTAGCGATTCGTTCTAGTAGCTCTCCAATGGCTAATACTTCACCACAAAGACAGCAAAGGGCTCCTGTATTATTATTCTGACCGGCTATACATATACAAACTAGGCTCCGCGTAGCCCACGAGCTACATGGCTTGCAAGGGTGATAGGTAGGGCGGAAAACGGCCCTCAGCAATGATATTAAGAACCGGTTGTTAGAGATGTTAATCTTAGTGTTGTCAGCGTAGTCCGGTCAGAGGAAGCGAATGTCCTTCAGTTGCTCACGGGGCACCGCTCGTTGTGCGGTGCTTCAGGGTTTAGGCTTCTTCTTGACTTGCTTCTAAGCTTCCTTGCGGGCGAAGCACTAAATAAAGTCGCTATAGTAGCTATTATAGCCGTGGTTGGAACTGACAGTTGGTGCTGTAGTGGTCAACGATCGAAGGCCAGGGGGAGGTTATTGAAGGGAGAGGGAAGTGTAGCAGAGGGGCGCGACTGACACACACGAGGATGGCACTCGTATTAAGTGCCTTAGCTCTGGCGACGAGAGCGGCTGAAAGTGGCTCTGGGAGACTATGACTAGAGCTGTGGACGGCAGGAGGAGGAAAGGACAATGAGTCCCTGCCATAGCGGCAATGCTTAAGTTCGAAATAGAAATAGGCCTGGCAACGCCGCCTGTGTCGACGCCGATTAAAACGGCGGCACTTCCCGCCGGATTAGGCGGCCCCAACAGCAATTTCTCGACTTAGTCTGTAAAATAAAGTATTTAAAAATAAGATCTATATGTATATTTATATTTAATTCTCTTGTATTATTCTAGTCTTTTTTTATCTTTTATATAGCTTATCCTTCTTTACTATATTATAAAGTGCTTATAATATTAATCCAGGGAACAACCTTATGTCTCCGTGATCCTTTCTTGCAACGGCAAGAAAATATAATTTACAGCTCCCCAGAAAAACTAAGAACTGGTGCAATTACCAACAAAGAGAGTCATTAAAAACGAAGAGAAGGAAAATAAAAGGAACCCATTGCTCCAAACTACTAAAGTAAATCCAATATCAATCTGACTTTCGCCTTCTGCCAGTCTATTTGTCCAACTACAGGATACAATTCTCGTTCTATGATCAGTTTCTAGGCCAGCCCTAGGCGAAGAAGTTGCGTCCCAAACTCAATCAAGTAGTAATCTGCGTAAACTAAGCCATGGTCTCTTATTTGTGCATATCCCTGAGCGTTGTTAGACACTGTGGCATTTTTCAAGACGGCCTCAAAAGCGCTTCCCTCCAATTCATCGACAACGCTGATATCTTTATTCTCCGTGGTGACCAATTTTGCTCGCTCTGAAGCCAGAGAGCACGAAATTGTTTCCTCGATGATGGCTAAAGCTGCTTTCAGATATCTCTTTCCCATATCATATCTCCCAAGGCCGGTAAGTGCTTGAAAGAGAATCAGCATGCCATTTGCCGCAGCAGTACCTGCCGAGGTATCTCTTAAGAGCAGACCTTCCTTGTCAATTGGGGCATCAAAATCCCACATCGGCACGTAGCGGCCGGATGTTGTCCCATCCGCACAATGGATTTCAACGCAGCTGGGAGCCATCTCCAGTCGAAGCAGAAAGTATTCAGAAAGACCACATGCCACGTGAAGAAAAGTTTCATCTTTCGTCCAGGCATACGTCTGCGCGTATCCCAATATCGCCCAAGCCTGGCCACGAGACCACGTCGAGTTTGTGTCAAAGCCCTGCGCAGTGCGTTTCTCTTTTATGCATCCCGTCTCTGGGCAAAAGCTCACAACATGTCCAGTGCTATATAGCATACCGGAGAATCCTTGGCGACACATTGTTGGCTCCTCTCGCAAGTGAGTGCGGATTAGAGTATGCGCATGGTGCTTTGCTGCGTCGCTGAGACGAGAAGATCCACTGTGAGCTGCAGCGTAGAAGAGAAGATCAAGGTTGCACAAAGAATCGATTATGACGATGAAGTTTTCGTCCATGCCGCGAATGTGAGGGGCGTTTGTCCACACCAGCTCGTCCCAGCAGCGAATCGCACCGACCGTGGAATTGTAACGAGTATACAAGTTATTGGCAGCCGTGATTATAGTATTCAAAGCTTTTTCATCATGGAAAAGCTCCCATCTAGGCTTCATGTGTGTCATCATGATGAATCCAAGATCGTGCGTGTTTGTGAGCCGAGATTCACCGTGGATCGGATCAGACCAGGTTTTCCCCAACCTTTCAAGAGTCCGGCGCAAAGATTGCAATTCAACATCTTTAGCTCGAAGCCGATTGGGGTATTTAATTACTCTCTCTAGAAGGGAATAGATAGATCCTGGGAAGAACCCACAGGTCCAAAAGTCAATCCCCTTGGAAACGTATTTACCGACATCTTGCCCAGTCTGGGGGACAATGTGTGGATATTGTGAGGGCGGGTTCTAGGGTTCGACAATGAGACTCATGTTCAGATATTTGTTATGTTGTTACTTACGTTGTGTGATAAATGTTTCTGAGCTGTTCGTATTATTTTCGCTGTGATGTTCTCCGAGAAAAGTTCATCCAGTGATTCTTTCTGCCTCGCTTCCACGGGATCACTCTGTAGCCGTATCTTCGCAACCGAGACGGTACCACTGGCGCAGACATTTGTAATTGCGTGGAAGCCACCCATTGTCGATGATAGAGGGGGAGACACTGCACTCGTTAACAGCACGAGATTTTCTCCTTCTGTTTCAAATATTGCGATATATAGGGTCAGAGTATCCTCCAACTATACGAAATATATCAGATTATCCCATGGATTGAAAAGCTTTTTCTTAAGTTGAGCAGACTCAAGGGGCAGACCCCTTTCTTTGCATGAAAGTGGCTTCAAACCTTTAACGGAATGCGGAGCCCCGCGCCACCTTTAACTTCTCATGCGTCATATTTTTCGGGTTGTCGCCCTGACTCTCGGCCGGTGACTCCCGACAGGACTCTAGAACACCATTGCAACTTCCGGATGCCTTGAGCACTTGGCAACATCTGCTGATCGTGCGAAATCATCCTTAGGCATTCAACATTGACATCAGACTGGCGCTCCACCATGCCACCTCTCGCGGGCTTTTCAGACAACCCATTCCGCTCTCGAAGCGACGTTCTCGTGGCCGTCAAAGCCCTCCTCCGACCTTTGCTTCCTTATTTCTCTCCAGGATGCACCCGGATTCATATCCCTGTTGCCACGGGCACACATTTCGACGAAACCGCGGCCCAGCTCGAAGGCTACGCCCGGCCACTATGGGTCGTCGCGGCTCTGCTTATGAGTGGTGATGAGCCTGACTGGGATCTGATACAGCCATGGATCAAGGGCATAGAGATCGGTACCGACGCAGAGCACCCTGAGTTTTGGGGGCACATCCGCGATTACGACCAGAAAATGGTTGAATGTGAGATGATATCCTTTTTACTACTGGCCGCACCAAAAGAGCGCCTGTGGGGGAGAATGGACCCCAAGATTCAACGCAATATAATAGCTTGGCTGTCAGAAATTCATACCAAAGCCATGCCACCTGCAAACTGGCTTTGGTTTCGCGTCTTTGTCAATTTGGCTCTTCTGAAAACATGCGGGGTGGACACACCTACAGTCCGAGAGTCCCTTCAAAGTGATCTCGAGCTGCTCGACACCTTTTATGTTGCGGATGGATGGTCTGGAGATGGTCTATGGAGATCACCAGAGTTGGATGAAAAGGAATGGGAGATATAATCAAACCGGGCGAGCAAATGCGCTTCCTAATAGTAGAAATATGTGCTACTACTCGGGCAGCTTCGCCATCCAATTCAGCCAGCTCTTATATATCCGCTTTGCTGGAGATTTGGACCCTCAACGAACCGAAAGATACCGCCAGCAAGCACGAGACTTTGGTGCTGGATTCTGGAGATATTTCGATTCCGAGGGTGCAGCGATACCATTCGGTCGTTCTTTGACGTACCGCTTTGCCTGTGGTGGCTTCTTCGCAGCCCTCGCTCTAGCTGGAGTTGACCAAATGCCCGTACCGCTTCAAACATTGGGCGATGTCAAGGGGTTTCTCCTACGCCATCTTAGATGGTGGGCGAGACACTCGGACAATATCTTTTATCCAGATGGAACGCTAAATATCGGCTGGGTTTATCCGTATGTCACTTTGGGATGCTCTGGCAATCTACTCATCGCTGACGCCTGATGAATAGGAACTGGTATCTTGCCGAAGACTACAACTCACCCCAATCCGTCTATTGGGCTCTAAAATCTCTTGTAATCGTTGCTTTAGATGCTGACCATCCATTCTGGGTCCAGCCCGAAACGCCATATCCTGATGGTGGTGGGGTGAGTCTTGTTTCTGCACCACAACAAATACTATGCAACCATCCCCGAGGAAGTCACCATTTTCTTCTATCCTTCTCCCAGTTTATCGGTATACCTTTCAAAGCTTCAAGGGCTAAATACTCCAAATTTGCCTACTCATCAGCATTTGGGTTCTCTGTCCCCAATGGTCCTGTTTCACTAAGACAATCACCACCCGACAATACGCTTGCTTTTAGCAGAGATGGTGGCGACACTTGGGCCGTAAAATACAAGGCAGAGCAAGCTAAGTTTGGTAAAATCATGGTTTGTGATGAGGAAGTGCCCATAGGGACGGTATCATGGTACCCCTGGACTGATCGTAGCGTCGTTGTTACGACTACTATGATCCCGCCAACGTCGAGATGGCCAGACTGGCACATCCGTATTCATAAAATCAAGGCGACTAAATCAACCTCACGGGTGTTCTTGTCCGAGGGAGGGTTCGCAATCAACAGTCGCCAGAAGAGCAATCATCTACTGCTACCTGAAGTGCCAGTCAATGAGCAAACTGACGCAGTCGCTGACGGTATCATTCGTACCGGCAATTCGGTGCTGGTCTTAAATAATGGCGATGCATCCGGGATTGCCATCGATGAACCCGCAAAAGCCTCTCTCAGCTTCTCAATGTCGGCCTTCGATCCGGAACCAAATACGAACCTCATGGTGTCAAGGAGCTTTATACCGTTGGTTGAATATGACATTGAGGGCGGTTTTAAGGAAGAAGAAGAGATTATTCTCGTCGCCAAAGTCTTTGCGATTTCAACGAAGGTCAATTCTACAAGAGAACCTCCGTATCCAATGGAACGATGGCTAGACGCACCCCGAGTCACTTTCCCGGAAACAAGGCAGTCAACTGACAATGATAGTCATATTTATGTCAATATTCTTTAATTCGGACATTCCCTGATTAACATTTACCACGAATGTACGATTATTCCTTCGCCACCAATATTTGGTGACGAAAGGTCTGCTATAAGCACCCTTCATGCCCATGTTTTACCATCCCTGTGGCTGCGATGAATCAGTCCATTGCTCGCCATTCTGAGCCAAGGCCATGTCATCAAAACTTATGACACGGTCCAGGTTGGAAAATCCTTGTCCAAGGAGAAGCTCCGAAATGGCATTTAGATCGGCATTCGAATCATCAATCTCGCTCCCCGTCGTAACTGCCCATTGCTGGATGTCATTCTGCATGGAGATAGGCCCGGACAGGTTGCTTCCTGGGGGTGGGACTCCAGTGTCGGTCTGAGCGTTGAATTGCCGAGATTCTGTGGCATTACCTTCTGTTGCCACTCTACGACCAGAGCCACCCTCTGTTCCAACTGCCAACCTGGGTGTGGCGCGTAAAAGCTCATCAACCCAAACTGCTTCCTCAGAATCACCGAGAAGATCAATCTTGAAATGCGGGTTTCGGATACATTTCTCGTGCAAATCTCTCAGCCGGAGTGCAAACTGCAGGAACAAAGTTCTGGGGTCATTTTCGCCAGACCAGCGGCGGGACATTTCTTCCAAATTAAGCACCAATGACCAGAATTCGCGGGGGAGCTCTCCACGGGTATACCTCCAGTGCACTAATTCACAGATCAGTTAGCTACCCGCTATCCCCTTTCCCTGCCTTACTCGATGCCAAAATCCAAGAATGCCACTTACCTAACAAAACCCTAGCACTGATGAATGCACAGAATCCTAGTTGAGGAGTTACGAGAACCTCTTTGGTAGTTTGTTCCAGAAACTGGTTGCAGATATTAGCTGTCTCAACAGCGGCACTTAGGCACGTTTCTGCACTGCAAGAACTTGGCAGCTTTATTCCGGCCAACTCTGGGCCAGGGTATGCAATCTTCTGATGGAGGAGTATCATGGAAACATTATGTGTGGCATTTGCCGCGGTCATATTCGGATCCATGATGCCGGGCATTGACTCTCTAGAGGCTCCGGAGTCTTTCCACTGATTGGGTAGGAACATCTTCCAACTATTTTAGGTTAATTAGAGGTGTGATATGGAATATCTTTTCGAAAATAGGTGACTACTTACTGAACCAGTCTCAAGTCAAGCTCCTTGAATCGGGTCAGCCAGCTAAGGACTTCTTGCTTATCTCCAAAGTCAACTTCCTGTTGGAGGAAGTACGTGTTCACTCGGCTCAGGGACTCGATGGACTCGATATAATATGCAAATGCACCAATATTGGAAATGTCCAGTGGCAGATCCGGCTTTGCCCGTTGTCGTATCGGGACAGGGGACTCCACGGCTCCGCTATCCGTGTTTGAGGCTTTGGACGGGCTGGCATAGTGGGTTGGTAAGAATGTGATGGAGTTGCCTAGAGATGCAGCTGATCGCGACCAGATGCCGAAGTAGGGGGCTAAACAGGGCGTTTCGTTGTACCATTTACCACCGCAAACCGGGAGTCTCCTACTCACGTCTGTTGCGGTTAGACTGTTATTCCACCCTGTTGTTACCGAACAGAATCTGAAGGAAATTCATTAGCATTTGCGTCAAATAAATCGCGAAAGGCGAATGTACCTATCAAGAATAAAGATATTCCAAAATACTCTTCTTCTCTCCTCTTCTTCAACCCAATTCTCGGGGTCTGGGAGCGTCGGCAAGGAAGTAAGAAACGAGTTTCTCTGTTTAGTATCCTCAGACTCAACGCTCAACTGCAAATATTGAACGCTTCTAGTCATTGAACCTATGATCGGCCAAGCCCTTGCTGATTCTCCACTTCCTATCTATTGAGTTGAGTCAGCCTACTTGAGCGGTTCGAGAGATGTCTGGGGGGTGTCTAACGTGTATAAAAGCAACAATGGCAAATGCCTGTAGATTTTCCACTGACAAACCGCTCATTGCGGCCCTTAAGACGTAATCACGAGATCTTCTTATGGTCGCCTTCACTGCTTCGCTCGAAAGGCGGTGAGTATCTTGAGGGAGATGCCTGAGTGCAGCGACAATCATGGCATGCAGGACAACTGCATTACGTTGGCGGCCGTCATGTGATTGCACTGCCCGCAGGAACTTTGGCGCATGAATGAGCGGTATCCAGGGCTGAATTCGGAGGAAGTAAAAATCCATGACAGCATCGAGGAGAGTATTGCTTGGGAGACTATCGGTTGTTTCTTCATCAACATCGCAGGCTTGCAAGTGCTCTTCCCGAATGTCAAACCTCCTCCGCTTTCTTCGCTGAGGCTCAGCATTTGCAAGATGTGAGTCAGTTTGCAAATCGCTACGGGACCAAACGATGTTGGAGTTTAGCTTCTGGATTTCCGATGCCAATGAGGTAAGTATACCCAGGACCGGTGTTGCAGTTATATTATTGTTGTTGGTGCCTCCCAGTGGCTGACCCAATCCTGCGGCGCTCGGAAGCTCTGGCGGGCGTTCATCGTCATCGTCGTTGTGCTGTCTATTGAACAACAAATTCTCAATTACCTCTAGTATGTATACATTAGCATGAAGTGTACGTACTTCTAGGACAGGTTGAGGATGAGGCATCCCAGTCCTCTTAGCACATACGCAACCTCTGAGATAGAGCATCTACAGCCCCCGTCTTGAGCCCGGGCTTGTTCCTCCGGGATTCGTACAAGCAGATAGTATCTGTACATGGTTGTAAGCACGTTCATTCATCTTGTTTAGCGGAATACCGTGCAAAACGTACTGTATTTTTCGCAATTGGAGCACAGGGGACGCTGCCGAGAGCACTTGAGCTTCCGTTTTCGACAGCCTTCACACGATGGGAGATCGGTCTCGCCACCCGGCTCGGTAGAAGGCTCGGCCATTGTGCTGCGGAAATCAATCCCACCCCGTTGGATCTGAGATTGTCCGTCGTCTCACGAGAATGCGCGTCTCGGATGACGCAAGAATGACCGGCCGATCTTTTCGCCGAGTGGGTCCCTTGTCACGAGGATGAATAAAAGCTACCCTACAGCTGTTCGGACTTCATCACCTCCCGTAGACAATGCGTTCTGCGACTGTTACTTATCGGATTTTAAAAGTAGTTGGGTATGTTCATTTCTCCAGTCCAATTTTAATCATCGGAGCTTCCTTGGTGATTCTTCAAAACCCTTCCATAATGTTGTATGCGAAGTACCTTGAGCCTACATCGATCATCTAGCGGTTGAGCACATTATCAGAAACGTCATGCAGTAAATGGTCATCTTACAGTCCAGGATAAATCTAATTAGAGTAATCCACGGCTGACAAATGGTGTTAAAGCATGATCCAATCTAATGGCTCGGCTTTCCTCCCTGTATGAGGCCAAGCGGCTGAAAGATGGCACACCACAACACCACTCCCAGCCTGATAAATTAAGCTTTCTCTCCATGAGATATGGTCAGCCGTTGCCAGCTACGAAGGGCGATACGGTATCACTTTGACTAACCATCGACCTCCCTTTTGTGAAACAATTACCTGCCTTTTCAAGCCATGGATGATGACCGGCTCTATGAGCAGCTCGCCAATCAGCGTTGCCCGATTGAAGAGCGCACCTTGGTTGTTGGGCTTACATCGTTGCAGAACCAACTCTACTGCCCCAACAAGTGCCAACGGGCAGTCCAATCGGGCTGCTTTCGCCTTGGCTCCGCGAACCGGTCTCGGGGGTCCCATGCTCTAGAGGCTCACTGTGCTCCGCTTTCTCGAGCGACAGCCCACTGACGGGTTTTAGACGGGCCATGCCAGAGAAAATATGCGTGCCGCTTTTCCATCTTTTCGTTCTCCGACCGGCCACCGACCGAAGTTGTGTCTTTGCTCAGGCGGGATTCTGCCGCTTTATACGTTGCACTGCGGTCATCGGCCTCGAAAACTGATAGATGGAGCCAGGAATTTGACCGAGCCCACCTTTCATGTCGTGATCGTCACTGGCTAAAAAATAAGAGAATCACGCAGTATAAAGTGCGGTCGGGAATCCTCTCCCGTGGAGAAATGAATGATGGATGGCCCTCATCATTCATTGTGTTGAGATGTCGGGTCTGGCATCTTCTATTGCTGTGTTTAACTTTTTACTCAAACTCTCCCCCGTCCCGATGAAGGGCCCTCACTTGATTTTTTAAAACACCACTCAAAGTGACACCATGGGTCGGCAAGCTGCCCTTGCCAAGGCAGAACTAACGCTCCATGATCAGGTTGAGCATCTGCCCAAACAAAAACTCATCGCAGTATTTGGGCTCCTCGCGTTGACGGTTTTGATCAACTTCACCGATCAGAATGGCATCTCCATGGCTCTCCCGACTATTGCCGCGGAGCTGGACGCCCGCGACACCATTTCGTGGGCTGGTACGGCCTCACTGCTGGCTAACACTACCTTCCAGATGCTCTGGGGCAGACTCTCCGACATTTTTGGACGAAAAACGGTGTACATTTCTGCGATCGCCCTCCTCTCTATCGCCGATCTTCTCTGCGGCCTGAGTCGAAACGCCACAAGCTTTTATATCTTTCGAGGTCTGGCAGGTGTTGGCGGCGGGGGCATCACCAACCTCGCCATGATTGTCGTCTCCGATGTTGTCACCTTGGAAAACAGAGGCAAGTACCAGGGAATCATCGGTAGCATGGTTGGCCTAGGCAGCATCATCGGACCATTCCTGGCCGCGGCCTTTGCAGAAAGGGCGACTTGGAGAGGCTACTTTTGGCTGCTGTCTCCTTGCGCTGCCTTGGCGGCCGTGTTGACGTACTTCTATCTCCCCACGAAGCCACGGACGGCATCGTGGCAGGAGAGTGTTAAGAAGGTAGACTGGTGGGGATCATTTGCTATCTTTGTTGGCATCGTCTTTTTGCTCATCCCTATCTCTGGAGGTAATTTCTATATACTCCCTTCAAGGAAGTAAAGAACTCAATGAATAAGTGCTGACCGTAACAGGGGGCGCGTACTTCGAATGGAAGTCCTCCATGGTGATCTGCCTGCTCGTTCTTGGGGGGATTTCGCTCATCCTCTTTGTCGTAATTGAGTGGAGAGTTGCGAAGCTCCCGATGATGCCAGGTACTTATTCCCCTCGTGTCAAACTGCCCAGGTCTAATCATGTCTCAGTTGATATCTACAAGAATCCTGCGGTTACAGCCATGCTTGTGCAGAACTTTCTGATGGGCGCAAGCTATCAGGCTTGGATATATTTCGTGCCCCTGTACCTCCAGAACGCTCATCAGTTCTCCATCATCCAGTCTGCACTTATATGGATCCCTCTAGTCGGATTCCAGTCGGGAATTTCCATTTTGTCGGGCCTATATATCTCCAAGTTCAAGCGCTACGGAGAGATTCTCTGGTTTGGCTTTGGAATCTGGACCCTCGGCTCCGGTCTTTCTCTTCTACTCACTCGGGAGTCCCCAGTTGGAATCATCATCATCCCTCTTATCGTAGTCGGCATCGGCGTGGGATGCATCTTCCAGCCTATTCTGGTCGCCCTGCAGGCTCACTCCCCCAAGGCCCGACGTGCCGTCATTATCTCGAATAGGAATTTCTGCAGGTGCGCAGGCGGTGCGTGTGGTCTCGCCGTCTCTGCCGCGGTCATGCAGGCGAGCCTGAGGGCATCACTCCCGGCCGAGTACGCAAACCTGGCCGGGTCGACATTCACGCTTCCTGAGTTCGATGGAGATATCCCAGCCGCCGTGCTTGATGCTTACATGGCAGCCAGTCGCTCTGTTTTCATTCTCCAGGTTCCCTTGATTGGGCTCTGTTTCCTGGGGAATTTTTTCATCCGGGACAGAGGGTTGGAGCTCCCAGACGAGAAGAGCCCTGTGCAAGAACAAGAGCCTGAGCAGGCCGGAGGGGAGCAGGGAATCATGATTGAATTAGCGGAGAGCGATGCAAATATTGAAGCGGGAGTAAAAGGCACTTCACGGTCGAAGTAGATGTTCCCCTTGCTCTAGACCCAACGCTCCGTTGCACTTTTATCGTGCGACTGATCATTTCCACCAAAAAGGGCAAGCTACTTCGTAATGTAGGTATGTTTTTTACTGTTTAATGGCGAGTTTTAGGGCCATTGTTGGCGACTAGATCAAACGTAATTAATACTCAGTCAAGGTGATGCGCCATCGAGTAACCAACTTCTCATCGCATGAACCATGTAGAAGATGGCAGGCCCATTGGAGGGATGTGAGAGAATACGCCAGGTAGCATGATTATTATATCGCCGACATCAGCTAACCGGGGCACTGTCACTCAATTCACATGGTTTCCGAGGATGTGCTTTTCTTGTTGCTTTTTACTATTTGAGGACCAACTAAACAGAAGGGGAAAAGGCCCCAGAAGGAGATCCTGGACTGTTCGAGGCTTAGTAACGGTAGAAATGAATCCAAGCCACCAATAGCCTGCGCCTGGGGTAGGGGCTATTTGCCACTGGCGCTGGTCGATGCAACGCTGCAAGGTGATTTGATAGGGGAGGAGACTGAAGGCTCCAGAGACCTGGAGCAGCCAAGGCAGCCCAGATCTCCTCAGTAAGATGCAATGCACAATGATGTATCTCGGTCGATCCGCAAGCCAATGAAGGAGCCGCAACAACGCGTCAATCCAGGGTCATCGAGGCAGCCACCTACTCCTAGCCTCCTCCAGCATCCTCCCTTGATACGGAGGCGAACTAGCCGCCGTATTTCTTTGATCCCCCCAAATTATGTGGAGCCTTGGCTTGAAACATCAAGGGGATCGACATGGGGTTGTTTGTGCCTCGCTTCGTGATAAGGGGTCCAACCGCCGCCTTCTCCAACCCCTCTGTTGCACTGCTCCTTTGAAGCATCGCACGGCATTGTGTCCGTAGAGTACGTCCTGGGCGGTATCATTGACGGCGATCCTCTAGCAAACCACATCCATCATTCACCATGCCTATCCGCGTCAAGTCCAAGGTGCCTGCCCAAGAGCGTGAATTCTCGCCTGGCCCGGTGGTCCGCATGGATTGGGAGCTTCCAAATGTCGGCCAAGACGACGCTTTTCAGACTGTCGTCGAGAACCTGTCCAAGTAGGCGTGCCCGGCGAGTAACCCCCTCTACCCGAGCATTCAATCTGACATGCCAAAAGCTTCTTCACCGACGCGATTGATCTGCCCAGCTCTTTCGAGCAGCTTCGCACCGCAGAGTCTTTGAAAATCCTCGTGGAGCATTTGAGTAGGACATGTACCAACCCTGCCATTGTAAACGCATTACTGTAAGTGAACTGCAATGGGAGAAGAGGAACGGTGCCCATATTCTGAGAGGCCAATTCGGCCCATTTGTCTGTTTATTTTTCAGTTGGCTCAACCTTGTTTTTCACTTAGGGCTCTTCGCTGGCATTATTCATGCGACACTGAGCACAGCGGGCTTAGCGAGGCGCGATCAAATGCCTGCGAGATCGTCGCCTGGCGCTTCCTCACGCGTCTTTCGGAGCGAGATGCTGTTGACTACTGTCTTCACGAGATCCCCGGAAACGAAGCCCTCGAGGCCAACCCCGGTTCATCACTTGGTCTGTTTGAGGATGACCCCAGCGAACAGTCGCCTCTTCTTCCCCATCGCCGCCCATTTAGTGCCGGCACCTCTGGACTGGGCCTATCTACGCGGCGATTTGAGCTTCAACGCGCCGTGCCCAAGATCACCTTCTCCAGCAACGAGTCAGTCGAGAGTGGAGGCAGCCGCTCTGGTGTCGTAGATTCCGCCAAGACCTTCAAGAGCTTGAATGCCCTCGAGATTGCTGGCATTGCCGGTGCTAAGCGCTTTTTGAGCCAGAATATCGTGCAAAAGATCATCACGAGTATCTGGGACGGTGAGATTGTCTTTTGGGATACCATTTCCGGTAACTCGGTCATGAAGCCAAGGTATTATAACCCTAGGACAGCCGACCCATACTCTCGACTCCGCGTGCCCAAGTATCTTAAAACCTGGGAGATCCTCTTCTTCGTCGCCTTTCTCTGTCTATACTACTCGGTTGTTTTGAAGAGAGAGATGGACTCCATCCCATTTGTGGAGGTTGTATTCTACATCTGGCTTGCTTCCTTCCTCCTTGACGAGATTCAGCAATGGGCAGACGCCGGTTTATTCTACCTGTCTGACCTGTGGAACATCTTTGATATTGGAATGATTACCCTTGGAATTGTCTTTGCGATCCTAAGTATGACACACTAGTCCCTTACCCTTTACCAAGCATGCTGACCATTTCAACAGGAGTTGTTGGGATTTCCACCGGCAGGTCGAATATAAGCGAGCTGGCATTTGACATATTATCCCTGGAAGCACTTCTTGTCATGCCTCGTATCTTCTCCTTCCTGAGCTTAAACCCTTACTGGGGCACTCTGATTCCCTGCATCAGAGCCATGGCCAAGGATTTCGTCAAGTTTATTATTCTGGTTATTATTGTGTACATGGGATTCCTCACAACATTCTCGCTCATTGGACGAGACTCGTTCACGCTGCCGCACATCACTTGGTCTCTGGCCAAGATCTTCTACGGAAACACCGGTATTGCTTTCGAGATTATGGATGACGTGGACCCCACCTTCGGCCCGCCTCTGATGATTCTCTTCATCACGCTTAGTTCCATTCTCCTTACCGGCTCCCTGACTGGTATGCTGTCGAATAGCTTTTCCCGTGTCATGACCCACGCCAGAGAGGAGTACCTCTACATCTACAGCGTCTATGTCCTCGAGGCATCCACCAGTTCTCGCCTCACACACTTCTACCCACCTCTCAACCTCATCTCCCTGGTCTTCTTCCACCCATGGCACATTGTGTTTTCCGGGGACGATAAATTCCGCCATAGCCGAGTCGTCGCTCTCAAGGTTACCCACTTCCCCTTCGTCGCCGTCATCTACGCCTATGAATGGTTTTGGCGCAGGGCCTGCGACAATAAGGACCAGGAGGAGTGGGCGAGGTACTCTGGCGGCCGGTCCAGGAGCGACTCCGAGGCACCTGGCACGCGTCCTACCATTGGCCAGCCTCGCACGTCGGGTTCGCCGTACCGTGCAGCTTCTGGCACGTACAGGAGCCTCAACAGGTATCTGGACACACGGTCCAGGTCGAGGAGTATCGGGAGCAACGACCGTATCAAGGAGGAAGACGAGGGGCCCAGCAATGCGGAGCTCATGAAGCAAATTCAGAAACTGACGGAGATGGTGGCCGAGCTTCAGAAGAAGCAGACTCAGAGCGCCGAGGAGGCCAAATCTCACCATCTGATTGACTGAAACCGAGGCGGTCATGAATAAGTGATTATGTGCATAACGAAAGCGACATGGTTGCGCGATTATGAAATTGTTCTGCTTGAGAGTTTGAAATTTACATACTGGTAGGTCTAAGTGCAGTTGAGTTGTGAATGGCTAGTTACATTGAGAAAATTGAGAATGCCTTATATGGCCAAGAAGTTTCAAAAGATGAGGGGGTTTCAGTACGTTGAGGGGTTGTTGTGATGAGAGCATAGCTTGAGATCAATTTACTACTTCCTCTTCTCCATTCTGCCTACAGCTTACCTTGCCTACCGGCTGTTCATCCTAACCTGGCTTCAAGTTGCATCACCACCATATCATTTTGAATGTTTGTTCATAATAGCCTCCGCCTCGTACCTTTTTGAGCTTCTAAGATCTGTCTTTGACGGTCTGAATTCAATCGACTGCTTATAGAATTAATAAGAAGCTCTACTTTGGGACGGTGTGTTGGTTGTTGGTCTCCACCAGCCGCGCATGTATTGGTTGGCATGTTGGGCGTTATGTTTTGTCTGTGTAACCCAGCCACCAGTCTGGGCGGTTTCCACACCTAAGTTTCGGCTCTAGACAGGGCATGGTTCAGGTTTAATATGTGGACTTCCAATGCCTATGTATATGCGCTTTATATCTTGTGATATGAGGATGAGATTCCAAGGGTATAAACAACTCGACAGTTCAACGAAAACCTAATGAAAAGATAAAGCAGCCCATTGATGCGTGGAGGATGATGATCCCACCCCTCACATGACGAAATAGCGAATGTGCAAAAACCGACGTGGGCCTGCCAGCCTTATTTTGCGTCCAGGTAGGCACCCCTCTGCATGCAACATCAGCGCCCCCGAACTTTCCGTGCTGTTGATTGCGTAGACGATACCTGACCAGGGCTGACCGTAAAGTGCTTTTGAGATGCCGATCAAAGAAGACGTGTTGGGTGCAGTCTCGCTGCTGCAGACCCCTCTGGGCTTCTTCTCTGAGCTGCCTCATCTCCCCTCTCCCCAGATACATGTTGATGGCATCGGCGAGATCAAAGAACCCATCACTAGCGCTCAAGCAGACGTGATCACCGCAGTGACAGAATTACATGGACTATTAGACATCACCGGATCAGAGAATGCGCTATGGCATCCTGCAGTTTGGCTTGATCCCTCACAATTCAGACTGAGAAACCCCGAGTGGCCTGCATTGATCGATAAACTATGCACTCAAATCTTCCAAGAGCTCGACACCATGACAACTCTCAAGGCTCAACTCTCGGAGTTGATCGTTTTTAGAGCTGGATCTGTGAATATACGCCACTATGGGTAGGTATGCCTTCCAGAACTGACTGTCAAAGCCTGGTCTAATTGCTCATCTAAAGCTTCAACGCCGTGAGGTCGCTAGGGACCCTTGAAATCAATCTCCCATCCTTCCCTCTGGGTGGGGAGGTCGTGCTCAGGCATGGGATGCAGGAGCAGGTTTTCAAGCCGCACCATGACAGACCGTCTTTCATTTTCCGGCTCTCGGACGTTTCCCAGGAGACTCGCCCGTTGAGTTCCGGCTACCGATGTGTCCTCGTGTATGATTTGATGTGTTCTACGGTGCTAGGAATCGTGCCCGCGTACTGGACATTGTGCGCTAGGCGCAAGAATTAGGCGGTAACTGACCTCAGCAAGGTTGTTCAACAGTGGGTTTCGCAGAACTCGGCCTCCCGCGAGAATAACTTCTTGTACTATGTGCTCGAGCAAGACTCAGATGCTCAGGATGCCAGCCTCAGAGACGTATCGCTAGCAAGCCGAAACGAATTTCAGGTTTTGAAAAGTCTGGCTGAAGGTATCCCGCTTGAGATCTTCCTTGTGACGCTGAATAAGAAAGTTACCAAATTAGATGACGATGGGCACGATCAGTTTCTTAGGTATTGTGAAGCAAGAGAAAAGTCAGAACACGAAGCCTCGCTCCTTCGCGGTTCACAGAAGGTAGACCTCAGCGTCCGAAATGTCAGGGATACGGAACGAAGACTCATGAAGCATGCTCTCCCATTGAATGAAGAGAATATTCTTCAGGAGGACTGTTTCAAGGGCGCGGATGGCTACGTGGAGCGTTTTGGGGAACACCCGGATGGGGTAAGCCCGAATTTCTCCACGAGAGGTCTGATAATTCTTTGAAATTTTGCTGATGAAATGTCTTTAATCGGCTACGCGCAGCCAAGAGGAGAGGTATGGAACTACAACTTGCTGGTGAGTTTAATATATCTCCAATGTTTTGTAAAGTTGCTCATGTATGGGATTAGGCTGTGGCATTAGTCCCCACCGATTATGTCGCGATATATTTAGGCGACGACTTTCCAAAAACCCCTCTTCACCCATCGCTAGAGCTTAGTTGAGTCGATTAGGCTCACCTGAAATCGTTGACATTTTGAAATTCCTCAACATCTCTTTAAGCACTTGTTGCTACTGGAACTCGTATTTGCAGTTTCTCGAACACTACATTGATCAAGATATGGCTCTGGACCCTCCACCAACACTAGTTTGGAGAGGCTCAGCGTCTCATTATCTCATGTAATTATGAAGACTGCAAAGTACGCGATACCTTTCTGTAAATCTCAACGAGTAAATGTTACACCTTCCTAGGATACGATTTCCGCTGCTAGTTCTTGGCCGTGCTTAGATATAACGCGAATATGGCTTCTGCAAAAGGCGAGTTCACTTACGGTTGTCGATAAAACGCGGGAAGGGCAAGAAATCTTACTATACGACTGGAAAGAACGATTGGAAGAAACCTGTTTGATTCTCGTTCGAGTTCCAGTCGATGATTCCGAAAGTTCAATGAAAACAGAATATAGGGCCCGAAAGTTGAGTTTATGGGTATTATTACTTCGGAAATACAATCTAAGGACACAAAGCAAAAACGATAGTATTGAACGAAACCCCTGCTCGATAGTGCTAGTCAAGTCGTCGCCGTTGTGAGTTCGTTGACTCCCGCCAACTGAAGTAGGATATCTTCCATTGCCCACCTACAAATAGCGCTCAGAGTTGGCTCGGATAACGGCCTGTCGTACCCATTCTGAGTTAGAAATTTAGAGACGATCTTTTTGCCATTGTATGCCCAGTAATCCCGGGCAATTGATATTTTGACCTCGTCTTCTCCACTGAGATAGTGAGAGCGGGAAGGGCTTTCAGTGTCAGGGAAGGCAGTCTGCCAGATACGAAGCCAACGCTTTCTCTCACCAAGTATAATCTTATCCCGTTTCCATAACTTGGTTCTCTGGAAGCTATTAACGCCCTCGACATGAACCCAATTTCGGATCTCGCACTTTTGGGTAAGAAAATGCCGGTCTCTATCCATTGCTCGACAAAATGTCTGACGGCAGCGTGGGCAATATGGCGGCTCCGCATGGAACCTATTGACATGCCTAATTACATCCTCAATGGACTGCATATCATGCTCCACTAGGCATTTTCTATGTTTTGTAGGATTGGAGATGTAAAACGGGCAGGCCAAGTGGAAATATCCATCTGCCTTCCTAACCAGGATAGTATTTGAATCCTTTGGATCCTCCATTTGCTCATAGAACATTTGGGGCCTGGATTGGCCATCTGATGAGCTGTAGCGGCTTTGTGGGGGTAGTCTGTCGTCTGGAGGCGCTACATATCGTGTCCGCTGCATCCTCTCCTTGATTTGGGGTAAAGTTGCTTGTATCAAATCAGTGCGGATGCATTGATAATCTAAACGTATGTCGTGGTCCAAATGTCCATGGGTTGTTTCTTCGTCTTCGGTATCAGACTGTGAGCCAGAGCCGCTGCTCGAGCTATCAGAATCACGGCCTGAATCGTTCTCATGATTACGGAGCGCCTCTTCGGCTGTTTCGTCCCACGAGTATGCTCTTGCCGGACGACAGTATCTTGGCCGGGGCCAGTGGTAGTTTGGATTTTTGGTCACACCGCTAGGTTTGACTGAAGATTGAGTTTGTATTGCTCGGTAAGGCAATCTTCTGTTTGGTACTGAATTTAGACTCCGGAGATTCGAACTGGAGGCAACAAGCCTCCGATGTTCTTGATCCTGTCTCACAGAAGCATTCCTGGCTTTGTTGACAGACATTGTTCAGGTTTTTGTAAGAATCAATGCGACAATTGCACAATGCCTTTTATTTGAGCAAAGAAATCCTTGATTTCTTTATCGGTAGGTCGAAAATTCGCTCTGCGTAGTGGAGGAAATGGCGTATCACCACAAGCTGGTTTATTCTGGCCACAACCTCGAGAAGGAAACCTTCAAAGACAATGGAATTCGATATCAACTAAATTGTTGTGCTGTGATCTATGAGAGCTGTTGAGATTCAAACATAGCAGCGACTTGTTTGGCGTCTAGCGGCAGGTTAATATAACTCCCAACATGCGCCAGTGGGATGGCATTTTTCAGATGGCTGATGATTGAGGTCATTTGGGTATGACCTACGATTCACTATGCATTAGACGTCCAGTATAGGATTAGGTCTCACCAAGGCGGCGGTCGCCTTGCATCTGATGACCCCAGCTGCAGGTTCTGAAGGCTAGTCTGCAACCTATTCCATTAGGATTCGTGATGTGCAATGAAATACCCGAGATATGTAGAGACTAAACCTAATGCTGCTATTTTATTCTCGTGGCTCGATAATAGCCCCTGGAATCGTGATCCCTGATCGTGAATCACACGATCAATGCATTCGCATTGGTTAGAGACTTGCTGAGACTGCATACTTCACTCCTGAAATTTCGGAGTCTCCTGCTGAATTGAGTTTGCTCGCCCTGGAAGTGGCCTGGGATAGGTTGAAACGATCGTACGCATTTGTGTTGTTGCTGCACATCTCATGCGCGTCAGATCCTCCACACAAATGTGCTGCGGCAAGAGCATCAGCCGCACTATAGAGATAAGAAAACACGAAATGGTTTGACTACTTGGGGTATTATTACAGATCAGCAGCGGAAGCTTGTTCCGGTTGTCCAATCCTTGCTCACAATCGGTCCTTTTCGAATTCGCACGCGTGTGCTCATTGGTTTGCTGACCGTGATCATCCGTTCATCCCCTCACAGTAGTGTCGTGGCGGCGGCACGTCCCCGGATACGACCATAATTTTGGGGTCAAAGGGCTGTGAAGGCTTGATAGCCATGAACTCATTGGCTTAGATGTCACCCCTGGTTTGGCTTCAATCTTTGGGGATCGGTCTGGACTCAGAGTGCAGAACCGCATGATGTCTATAACAGTAAGCCTCGAAGCTTTCAGCTAGTCTTCAGTCGCAAAACAAAAGTGTGAATTAGCAAGAGGAAAAAGAAATGGGGGCACGGCATATCTTTATGCAGGACTGAAGATGCCTGGTACGACTCGAACGCTAGCTAGCATATACAGCTTCACAAGTTCAGCCCTACCTCCCATCATTGGAGGTTCAAGTAAACAGGTCACCGAAAGAGATATTTCATGGGATTCTGCGACCAACGCAGAGTTGACAGTCCGCCTTATCACGGACAACTACTCCAACCAGTCGTCGCCTTCTTCTGATCCATACCATCCTCCATGCTTCTCGGTCATGTGTTCGTAAATATTGTACGGAAGATCCTCTCCGCAGAAGAAACACCATTCAGTGCCACAAATGGTGCAGCTTATGTGGTCGCACCCTCCATCCTTCTCAGTCTGTACGCCGCAGCCCGGACACTTGTTCACGCGGATTCTTGCCTTTCGTCCAGGTTCGCGGCCCATACACTCGTCACAACACCATTCGCTCACAGCAGGCGGCGCGCCAGCACCACACGCACGCTCCATGTACCGGCTCGCCTTGCTGCAGTACCAGCACCAGGCGTAGATCCAACCGGCGTCCTCCACCGCAGTCTTGAGATTCCCTAGGGCGCGGAGATTGCTGGGAAGGACCTTGGGGGAGGGCTGTCGTCGACAGAATGGACAGCTCAGGGCCGCAAGATTCAGGATCTGGCCGTGAGAGTTGGAACCGTACCAGCCATCAAAGCAGGTCTTGCAAACCTGCTGCTCACAGCCGCGACGGCCACAGGCAGATAGTAGATCCGACTTTCTCATGTTGTTGAAACACAAGCTGCAAGTTCCTGACTCAACCCGCCGCGACTCCACCCACGATCGTAGTGACTCGATCATCACGTCAGCATTTCGAACCAACTTGCCCTGAATCGTAAGTCTTGGGAGCTCGATGCTACCGTCCTCATTTGTTCGGCGAGGGAGGACCTCGACCTTGTCCGCGAATCCCTCGGTGCCTGCATTTGAAACTGCGTAGAAGAGTGATCTATTATTGAAAGGCTGAGCAATTTTCTTGTCATCATTGCGTAAAAGCCAGTCAAAGCCATTGTGCTCTTGGTTAGCAAGCTGTTCTGGCGTCGTCTCGACCTCAATGACGGTTGCAATCCGCTCCGTCTGGCATGCCATGCACTTGAACTCGGCCTCGTTGAATTGTTCGGGGCGGTACTGCACCGGCCAGATGACCCGGCTCAGACAATTCTTGCATTCAACGCAAGGCGCAGTGGTGCAGACGTCTCTTTCGGGGTGATTCTTAGGCATGAGCCCGTCCATTCGACAGTACCAGCACTTGGGGCGAACATTGAGCTTCCCTGCATTGTAAACAACGTACTGTGCTCGGCAGTACTTCATTGAGCACTCCACCCAAGTGGCCGTAGTCTTTTGGTTATCCTGTGCAGAGACTTGAGTATTGATGTACGTCTTGCGCTCTTCTTCTGTTTTGTAGTCGGATGCGCAGAGACCGCATAGCCCGCTCGGGTTCATCATTGTGATGGAACGAGGGAACTTGCAGCATGGACAGTGCACGACTGGACCAAGGGAAACCTTTGATTTGCTTGGCTGCCATCCAATCTTGGCGGTCAGGGTTGTTTTCAAATTCATTTCCAGCATCTTATAATCAACGAGAGACTGAAACAGGCGTCGGTCCTTCTCTTCGAGAATGCTTTCGTTCGAGTCGGCGGATTCATTTCGGCTGCGGTATGACTTGTCTGCCTCCAGAAGCAGTCGTAAACAGCTTGTATTCCATGTCTCAGGAATATCCAAGGTGTTCCACTTGGAGTATGCCAGAAGCTCGGCATCGGCTGCTTCCTCAAGGGGCTTAATACCCATTCGTAAGCTCAAAGCAGCTAACAACGCGGCTGGGCGTGCTGATAGCTTCGTCCCTGGAAGAACAGTGTGCAGCAAGACCTTCCAGAACTGCCGCTTGTATTTCTCGGATACCAGCACCAAAGGAATTCGCGGGACTTCTGACTCTGGTGCAGCCTTGATGTGCTCTGGCATGTCTTCTTCACGCAAG